AAATGTAGGAGCTTAACTAAGTAACTCAGTGATTCTACATTTCTTTTTGGTAGAGGACCAGCCTTAGGGCTCTAGAATGTTCATTGTGTCAACCTGAGACCTTTAGAAGTTTAACTAAGTGACTTAGCAGAGTAGCAGGGTCCTCACTTTGTAAACATCCTGAGCCTGTGCAAGAGGAAGGCACCAAGATTATGTGAGTGCTACACACACCCTAGAGCGGGTAGCCTGCATACAACATGAGGGGGAAAAAAGGCTCGTTCTTTTTCCCTCTTGTTGCTTTTGCTATCTTCTACTACTTGAAGTGTCCCTGTGCTGTGCCACTCTGCCTTGGAGCCAGCTGATTATGGCCTGAAACCTCCACAAACGGTGAGCTAAATAAACCTTTCCTTCCTTAACTTTGGGTGTCGGGTATTTTGTCCCAGCACAAGAGAAAAGCAACTAAGACAACGAGATGTGAAAAAGAGGAAGTTATGCCATTAACTATGTCACTTAGGACTGTTTTTGCATCAGGACAGCAGAATCATTTGCACCTGGAAATTGGTTAGACTTGCAGAAACTTGCAGGCCTGCTCAGACCTAAGGAACTGAATGTGTGTTTGATACAAAATCCCAAGTGTGCGCATCACACATTTATGCTTGAGGAGCATTATCTTCTGACAAATAATCTCTCTGGTCATGTTTCCTTATGCATGAAAACAAAGGACAAAAACTTTCTCGCCTCACTCCATGGGTTGATGATTAGAATGAAATAAACCTCCATCCAAATACAAGTCATGTACACTCAAAACTGGTCAGACAACTCTAACAAACAGTGAACTACGTGCAAATCTCATGCACATCACAGCTATTCCTGGGCTGAAAATGAACAGGGCTGCAAGGGTGGCTGACTCAGCGGAAGAGCAATAGCAAACACAAGGCCTTGGGTTCATGGCCAGCACCAAAAATAAAAATAAAAATAAACCTAAAACTGAACAGCAAAAAATATTATTAGATATCCCAAAGACAGGTCTTGTTTAAAAGTGAATTACATAAACTTTTCAAAAGCATGTAAGTGTTTTAACTTCTGGATTTTTTTTTTTCAGTGCTGAGGACGAACCCAGGGTCTCGTGCATGCCAAGCAAGCGCTTTACCACTGACCTACTCCTGCAACCTCTTTCTTCTTTTCAATTGAAATACATTACTCTTCAGTCAACAACTATTCAAAACAAAACCAATTGTACAGAGTCCCTATTGTCCATTTCCTCTCTGGACAAAACACCAAGCCATGATTTAAACCGCAAGGAGACTGCAGGAAGCCATGCCTGAGATCACCAGCAGGCAGTAGATTCTCGGCTCGCCACTGCCACCATCACTTCCCTGTCCAACGTGGAACCTATCCTGTTCTGTCGATCTGAGATAATCAAAACAACAAAGCCCTGAGTGGCCCTACCTCCGGCTCCTGCAACACGATAGCTGCCTGGTTAGTCCTTGAGGATATAAGCGCACCCTCCCCACCCCCACCACGACTGTCAGGATCCTTGAGTGTAGGCCTCAAAGAGGGCTTCCACCCAGGACTTTTATAGGAGCAAGAAAAGGCATGAAAAGCATTTGCGGGCACTGAACACTTTCGACTTCGCTGGAAGTTCCGACAGCTAATTCCATAGTAGCCAACACTCTGAGGTGCCTGGGGTCGCCTAGCAACCAGAAGCAAAGCTCGTGGACGCTAATCATTGGTTGGGCTGTGTCACGTGATCAGGAGCTGCTGCCCAATGAGAGATTGCTTTTCGGTTATGTGGGTGGCGTAGGCGCATCTCCCTCAGCAAAGTGCTGGCCAAAGAAGGCTGCGGGTGTCCCTGGAGCAGAAGTTTCCGGAGGTTTCCGCCCTGTCCTGTTACAAAGTCCCTGTCTCTTTTGTTCCAACCAAAGAGACGAAACCTTTATTCGCCGTCAATGCTGAAACAGAAAACTGCTGAATCAATCGTGGTGGAGATTTCCTCAGAGTAAGACTGACTTTGGGACTAAAATCTGTCTCCTGTTGGAACAAAGTTGCCACCGAAGGTTCTCTGCCAACAGTGTTGGCCCTGCACATAGTTTCGTAAGAAAGATGAAAGTGAAAGATGCAGAGTTGGTCGTGTTTATTTAGCTCTGACTAGGAGGGAGACTTCCAAAGGCAAGAGTTTTATTGGACCAGGAGGGGCGTCCTGGTGAAGCAGGTGCTAGAGATGCAAGTTCCCAAGTGAGCTTTAGAGCACTGCCTTCTAGTTCTTGATCCAACCTCGTTATCCACATGTCAGTCATGAACTCAAGACCTAATAACCTGTAAACCAGGAAGTGTGGGTGCACCATCACAGGGCTGTGAGACGTGGCCCCTCAACCTGCCAGTGTGAAGGGGATTTGAGATGATTGTGATAATGTCATCCCTATAAATAAATTTTCTGAGGCAAGCAGAGGCCTTCCAACTACTGCATATGGCCTGGAATAGTGGCCCATACCTTGTATTACTCTTGATTGATTTTCACATCCTATATTCAGGACATTAAGAAATCGTGTTGGTTTTGCCTTCAAACTGCGTTTAGAATCTGACAACTTCATTACCTTCATTTCACAGCTGCTGCCCTGGTCAGGTCTGCCTTCTTGAATCAAAGCAATTTCATGCATGTGAGCCTATGCACTGGGGACCTCTCCCATGCACAGCCTGTGCCCTACCACTGAGCAACACCAGAGCCCTAAAGTATTCTCGTTTTTAATATACCACAGCATGTCTCTTCTCTGCTCAAAATGCTCCCCAATTGCTAGAGGTGTGGCTCAGTGGTAGAGAGTGCTTATTGTAGAGCTCTAGGTTTGATCCCAGAGTACCACAAAAATAAATAATAACAAACCAGAACCTTTCAGTGGCTTCCTATTTGAGTCAGTAAAAGCCAAAATGCTTATAATCAATACATAAGGGGTCACATAGGCTCCTATCCACTCTCCTAACACCTTCAGAAAGATACTCTTTCCCTGCCTCACTGGGGATTGAACCCAGGGCTTTCACACTGAGCTACCTCCCTGGTAGCTCCCCCCTTTTTATTTATTTCCTTTTTTTTTTTTTTTTTAATCTTTGAGACAGGGTTTCACTATGCAGTTCAAGCTGGCCTTGAACTGACTTTAACTCAGACTGATCTTGGACTCATAATGATCCCCCTGTCTCAACTTCCAAGTGCTTGGATCATAGGCATGTGCCACCTTGCCTGGTTTAATTCCTTTTATTTACTTATTTATTTATTGAGAGACAGGATCTCAATAAATTGCTAAATTGCCCAGGCTAGGCTTAAACTTATGATCTTCCCGCCTTAGTCGTCAGAGTGCTGGGATGCTTAACTTCATGTTTCTCATGTAGGATAAACATTATTTCAAATTTAGGTCTCTGCACTCCTTGTCTGTCTGAATATCACTCCTGCTCTCTGATATTTTCTTTCACTTTACCTGTTTCAACGTTGTGTTATAAGAGAGCATTTTGGGGGGCTGGGCATTTAGCTCAGTGGCATAAGCGCCTGCCTTGCAAGCAGGCAATTGCGAGTTTGATCCCTGGTATCGACAAAAAAATAAAAATAAAAATAAATAAGAGAGCATTTCCCTGACCACCATGTACAAAATAGCAAATCACTCAGGCTCTTTTCCTATTGCTTGCTACACACACACACACACACACACACACACACACACACACACACACGTACACTCATACATATATACAGATATATCACTTAGCACCACCTGACATGTTATATATGTTCTTTGTCTACCACTTGCTACTAGAACTTAAGTACCTAGAAAAATGTCTGGTATGCAGTAGTTGTCAATAATTGTTGAAGAAATTAATAAATGTTCTATGCCCAACATGGTTCTATTACTAATTATAGTGAGTGGACCAAAGTTGTCTCACATGGCCAAAAGACTTTGTACCCACAATATTGGCAGTGTCCAGTCAGAATGTTTTGTAACCACTTTGTATCTTTATAGTTGACTTTTTGTACTCTTAGCCTTGAAATTCCTCCTCTTATGATGTGGTGTATTCCAAGAGGGGCATCCAGATTTGGGGGGGGGGGAGAACCCAGTGTTTCTTAGAGAAAACTTTATCAAGGTGTGTCACAGTTGGATCAACAAACCCTTGCTCAGCTGGCAACAGTAAGTGAATTAGGCTTGTTGTTATGTCTTGTATCCAGATGTCCCCCCAAAGCCTCATGTAGTCATAAGCGGGTTTTTGGAAGTGGGTGGTCCTAGGGTTGTGTGATGCTGGGATCAAGGATGCCACAGTAGGATTCAGGGTGTGAGTGCTACCTGCCTAAGGGGTAAGATGTAAGTAGCATCTTGCTGCTGGCTGCCTTCTGTCTGACCCGCTTTGCCATGGACCATTTCTTCTCTTCAGTGCCCTTTGCCATGCCACCCTGCTTCACAGCCGACTATGAACAGAAACCTCTACAAACTGTGAGTGAAATAAACCTTTCCTTATTTAAATTTGTGTTTCCAGTACTTTGTCTCAGCAACAAGAAAAGTAACTAAGACCCGTCTGTTAGTCCAGAAGTTGTTGGGAAAGTTTATCTTCCCCAAGTTCCCCAAAGTCTAGAAATCAGCAGCCCATGAGTGATATCTTTATTCCCTAATAAAATGCAAATAATCTAGACTAGATCATATCTTCAGCAGTTGTTAATGCCTCAGTGTTAGTTCAGATCCTTTTTTGTGTGTTTTTCCAAATCCTTTTTTGAGAACAGGTTTGGAAAAGGAAAGAAAATAGTAGCACCTTAGAACTAAGAGGGGAAGACAAAGTCCATGGCCAGAGGAAAGAACACAAAGGTGAGCTTGCCAAAGACAAACTTTGGCCCGTTTCATAGTTTTGCGCAGGGTTGATTCTCATAAATCAAGGTGCACATTGATTTGTAGCCCAAACTTGTGACTCAGCAAATTAAGGTACCTGAAATCAGAGGGTGAGGAAATGTCGATGTCCGCTCCCGGCCGGCAGGAAGGACACACGACAAAGTCTGGTAGTGGACAACCTTTTCTTTTTATTTTCCTTCTCCGTACAGCCTGCCCTGGGTTCTCCCAGCTGAAGCCTCCTCTGGTCCGCTCCCCGCGGCTCCTTTTGTGCTTCAGTCTGCCCCAAAGCCTCTACCGGTCCACTCTCCGCGGCTCCTTTTGGGCTTTTACTTCTGGGCTTCTACCTGGCTTCTTCTTCCGCCCAGGGGTGGCACCGGTATATATACGGGTACAGTGTCCAATCATGTTAAAGTAAGCAAGGCAAGCTGATTGGCTAACATCATCAGTTGCCAGGCAGACTATATTGTTGAGCGGGTTGTTTACGCGGTAAGCAGGAAACTAACATATTCGATGGGAGGGGTAATCTACCTCAGGCTTTGCTCTTTACCACAGGCCGCACGTCCGCCGCGCAAGGCGAGCTATCACAGACGCGGCTCCCAACATCTCCCCCTATTTTATTTTTTATGAATGTGCGCATCGTAGCCCTTCCTGGACTGGGTGCAGAGGCTTATGCCCTATGTGTAGGCCCACCGTAGGTCCTTGGCTTAGACCCTGGTTGGCCATGCCATGGTCTGCCAAGGCCCTGAGGCCCTCGTCCTTTTTCTAGGGCCAGGCACAAACTGGACGGAACCTGGATGCACACAAGCTTGCACTCATTTCCTCTCCGTAAAGAAATCCCCTCGGAGAGAAATTTAGACCTGGGCAGCATCTAACAGTCCAGCGGCTTACGTGCAGGATGGGGTAGGGCCTGGCTTAGGTCGAGTCGTGCTGGGGAGGCACGCTCTTACCCGTCATTGACTCACCTACCCTGCTGTGTATTGTCACCTTATGGAGGAGAATGAGGGATGCCCGCCATATCTAGACTCGGTCGTGGGCCGATTGAGCAAGCCATGCATATGCCTGAGGATCTTCTTGTCCATTTCGGGCTACCGCTATTTCTATTCATCTTATTGGTTGGTCTGTGATGGATCTCCAGTAGGGCAGGTCTGATCTTCAGTCGAGGGCTTTGTTGCCCGTGTCAGTCTCTCCGGTATCCACAGTGGTTCTCGTCCCGGTTCCTGTGGGAAAACACAAACCGCGCCTCGGTTCCAGCTGACCACTGGATCCGGGCCCATCCATTGTCCTGTCAGGACATCTTTCCACTTCACCCACCCTTTATGGTTGGGGGAAGGGTTGCAGTGCTCCACAGCTGGGGAGCGATTATCATTATTTAAATTTAAAAAATTGTGTGTGAATAGTGCCATGGATAATCGTGCCTTTGGGGCCAGGCCTTGGCCTACTCCCCCTTTTTGTTTTTGTAAAATTTCTTTGAGGCTTCTATGAGCCCTCTCAATGATTCCTTGACCTTGGGGATTGTATGGGATACCATGTTTTAATTGAACCTCCATCATTTTGCAGAACTCATTGAAGGCTTTGCCTATATAGGCTGGTCCATTATCAGTTTTTAATATTTTTGGTTTGCCCCATGCGGCCCAAGCTGCCAGGCAATGATTGATCACATTAGACACTTTTTCACCTGTTTCTGCTGTTGCGAATATGACGTGAGAACAGGTGTCTGTGGAAACATGAACATATTTAAGAGTCCCAAACTCCTGTATATGTGTGATGTCCATCTGCCAAACATCACCAGGGATCAAACCTCGAGGGTTTACTCCCATCGGTATGGCAGGTTTGTATGTGGCACAGGAGTCACATAGTCGCACGATATCTCGTGCATCTGCTCTAGAAACATGGAAATGGTTTGCTAGTGTCCTGGCATTAACATGAAACTTATCATGGAAGGCACGGGCTCGCTCGATTGGTGTTAGTAAGGTAAAAATCCATAACGGGCGAGTGGCAGTGTCAGCAGCCGCATTCCCCTGTGCCATGGGCCCCGGCAGGGATGTATGTGCTCTTATGTGGGTGGTGAAGACCTTATGGTGTCTGTTCTGAAGCAATGTCTGGATAGACAGGAACAGTCCAGCCACTGTGGAAGTGGATCTAATTAAACTGGCAGTCTCAAGCACTTGCATAGCATTGACCACATACCTAGAATCGGAGACAATGTTAATGGCTTCTGAGAACCGTTCAAGAATCATTTTAACGATCTGCAGTTCTACCACCTGAGGCTGATCTGGTTTAAATTGTATGGTAACCGGGGGCTTGCCTAGGATCACATAGGCGCCTATCCCCGTCTTGGAGCCATCTGTGTATATTGTGGTTGCTAGGACTAATGGCTCAGAGGCAGTAACCTTTGGAAAAATTATAGGGTGCTGAGTGACAAATGACAAGATAGGGTCTTTAGGGTATTGATTGTTTATATCCCCATGGAAAACACATCTCAGAATGGCCCAGGTATCTATGCAGGCAGCCAGGGTCTTGATCTGGCTGGCGGTATAGGGTACTCGGATGGCTTGTGGTCCTGAGCCAAAATGTTGGACAGCTCTATCATGCGCTTCAAGGGCCAATGAAGCGACTGCCTCCGGGTAATGCTCTATGACTTTTGCAGGTGAGACCTTAGGGTGTATCCACAGTAGTGGTCCTTTCTGCCAAATCACCGCTGTAGGCTGTAGACTAGTCTGTAGCAAACAGACATCAAAGGGTCGCCCTGGTTCAATTCTGTGTAAGGTAGCCCCACCTAAGGCTTTTTCCACTCTCTGTAAGGCAGCTCTTGCCTCAGGAGTGAGCCTCCTGTGGGAGGCTATATCTGGGTCTCCCTTCAGAAGGTCGAACAGGGGTTTGAGATCTGAATTTGGTATATGTAAATATGGCCTAATCCAATTAATGTCTCCCAATAGCTTTTGCATGTCATTTAGGGTCCTAACGCCATCCATCCTAATGGTGACCTTCTGTATAAGTCTGGAGGCGACACTGAGGTCCACACCTGCTGACCCAGGGGTGGCCCTTGTTGAAGGCTGCCACCCTGAGCTGTCCTGTCTCTGGGGCGGGGGCCCGCCTGTGAAGGGGGCCCCCTCTGGCCGTTTTTTGGCTCTCTAGCATCTTGTCCACAAATACGGTTGCCCTGAGCATCAAAGACCGACCTACACTCCTCAGCTTTGTGTGATCCCTTTTTGCATCGCCCACAAACATATGGTTCTTCATTCCTAGGGCGAGGCCTAGCATCTGCATTGTTTGGGCAATGACGTTTAATGTGTCCTGGCTCCCCGCAGGCAAAACACCCTTTAGCCTTACATTCCCCTTCTAACCCGCGAGGTCCCCTCTGCTGTACAGCCGCGGCCAGGAGAGCAGCCACTCCCGAGTTGGAGAGCGGCCCCCCTATCTCTCTGCATATCCTAATCCAGGCGTTGAGGTCCTTGTTCTTATGAGGAGCTATCGCTGCCTTGCACTCCTTTGTACATTGCTCAAAAATCAGCTGTCTTACCAGCGGTTGAGCCACTCCCGGATCAGGAAATATCTTATCGGCAGCATCTTGCATTCGGGCCACAAAGTCAACAAATGGCTCTGTGGTACCCTGAATTATTTTTGAAAGACACAAGGAGGCTGTTCCGGCACCACTTACCTGTTTCCAGGCGCGGAGCCCTATGGCATTGATTTGTTCATAGACAGCGCCGGGGAACTGGGTCTGGTCATCAGCGTGCCGACCTTCTCCCATAAGCATTTCCTTGTTCCACCCCCGGTTTCCCCGATTGGCGTTTCTCTCAGCCTGCTCTGCAGAGAACTCTGCGTACCAGGCTCGCCAATCCAGGTAACTGCCCGAGGGCAGACACGCCTTTGCCAGCTGAATCCAGTCCGCGGGGGTGAGGGGCCCAGAAGACAGATTCTCCAGCATGGCAATGGTGTAAGGCGCAGTCGGCCCAAAGGTTGTAACTGCATTTTTAAGTTCTCTAATCTGCTTTATCTCAAAAGGCTCCCATACATTGCGTCCCTGGCCCATAGCTACTTGTACAGGAAATATCCCGTAGGGGCCACTATCTATCCCAGGTGGATGTACCTCATGAGACAAGTGTCCCCCCTGCCAAAGCCGCCTGTAAAAATACCGACCCGCCGGCGGCGGAGCATAAGACAGCGGCCGTGATTGGGCGGAAAATGGGGGCCCGTGCATCACTTCCTGTTCTGGCGAAAGGGGAGAGAGCTCCCAGGCGGCCGCCTCGTGGCGAGGAATCGCCTCCGGAAACGGCCCCCAAGGTGAGGCGGAAGGCTTCGCCTCCCTCTCGCGCCGGGGAGCGCTCAGGAGCTCTCTACTCCTCCGCAGACCAGGTTGAGCAGAGCGCAATTCGCGGGGCAACGCTGGAAAAGAACCCTGCGACCCCTTATTGAGCGATTTAGGCTCCTGACAGCTGGTCTCTTTGGCCTCCTTGCCATTCAACTTTCCCTCGTCCTCGGAGTCAGACGACTCCGAGGCTAGAGCCCCGTCCTCCTCCTTAGCATCCTTGTTCCCCTTGACGGACCCCTCTCGGGAGCTCCCTGACTGGGCCTGCTCAGATACCCTGCGTACTTTTGTAAGCTCTTGAGAGCTTTCTCCACAACCACCCTCGCTCTTAGTGTTGCTACCTAACATGTTTCCCATCTTTTAATATGTTACTCACCGCGTGAGGCCCAAGGAATCCGCCACTTACGCGTGAGCCTGAGGGGAGTCTAAAAGCCCTGTAGGTGCGCGCCACCCAGAGCCCAGGCTTATCCCCAACTCACCTGTCTCGCAGCTCTGTACTGGAGCGTTGTCCACTTCCACGTCTCGGGGGTGATCAGTCCCCGGGCGGGCCTCCAAATGTCGATGTCCGCTCCCGGCCGGCAGGAAGGACACACGACAAAGTCTGGTAGTGGACAACCTTTTCTTTTTATTTTCCTTCTCCGTACAGCCTGCCCTGGGTTCTCCCAGCTGAAGCCTCCTCTGGTCCGCTCCCCGCGGCTCCTTTTGTGCTTCAGTCTGCCCCAAAGCCTCTACCGGTCCACTCTCCGCGGCTCCTTTTGGGCTTTTACTTCTGGGCTTCTACCTGGCTTCTTCTTCCGCCCAGGGGTGGCACCGGTATATATACGGGTACAGTGTCCAATCATGTTAAAGTAAGCAAGGCAAGCTGATTGGCTAACATCATCAGTTGCCAGGCAGACTATATTGTTGAGCGGGTTGTTTACGCGGTAAGCAGGAAACTAACATATTCGATGGGAGGGGTAATCTACCTCAGGCTTTGCTCTTTACCACAGGCCGCACGTCCGCCGCGCAAGGCGAGCTATCACAGACGCGGCTCCCAACAAGGAAAGTTCTTAATTACCAGAAAAAAATTAGGGGAGAGGTACTGGAGACTGACCCCAGGCCCTCAGCAGATGCTGGGCAACCACGCCATCCCTGTGCTAAACCATAACCCTATTTAAATTTTATTCTGAGCCAAGCGTGGTGGTGCCTGCTTGATACCAGCACTCAGAAGGCTGAGGCAGAAGGATTACCATGAGTTCCAAGATAGCCTGGGCTACATAGTGAGTTCAAGGCCAGTCTATACTACATAGCAAGACCCTGTCTTGAAAATAGTTGTTTTTATTTTGAGGCAGGATCTTGCTAACTTTGCCCAACCAGCTTCCAACTCTCTAGAACCTGGTAGCACATTTTGATAACCCAGTGGGTCAGGTATATTGGAAAGAAGGACTTGACCCAATGTGGTGGGGATGAACCATTGTAAGACCTTAGGGAAGTTAAGCTGAAAAGGGAGGGGTTGATAGATTACACATAGACACATGACCCTGGCCAAAGAAATAGGCAGGCTTGGGCTGGGGATTTAGCTCAATGGCATAAGCGCCTGCCTTGCAAGCAGGCAGTCATGAGTTCGATCCTTGGTACCGATAAAAAAGAAAAAAGACAAAAAAAAAAAATAGGCAGGCTTTGTGTTAAGGTAAACCCTTAAAATGTAAACAGAAGCACTGTCTGTTATCAGGTAACATGCTACAATAATACCACGGAGAAAGGGCTTCTTTGTGCAACTAACCATGGATGGATGAGAAGGGGAAAAAACTTTTTTGAGACAGGGTCTCACTCTTGAGTCAAGGCTAGCCTTAAGCTCAATATGTAGTTCAGGCTGACCTTGAACTTGCAAGTGTCCTCCTGCCTCAGGCTCCCAAAGCCTGGGCTTATAGGCATGCACCACCATGCCCATCTCAGAAATCTTGCTATATCTTCCTAAAGAAAAAAAGGAAAAAAATAAATGCAGTAGTTTACAAATCTTGAACGCATACAGTGTTGGAGTGACTTAGTTCCACATGTAGCCATAGATTGACTAAGGTAGATGTTGTGTCACTGGCTTATTCTTTCAAGTAAAGAACAATTAGGCAAAACCCCAGGTGACAGAAGCTTTGCCGGCAGTAACCACATGGTGAGGAAAGGGTTTGGAGCACGGCAAAGTATCCCCACACATGAGATGTAGGCAGAACATTTGTGCTCTAATTAAAAGTTAATAATAGGTGTTCAGATTCTTCTTAAGTTTTTTCCAGTTCACAGAGTTTACCACTCACTAGATGTGTGAACTTAAGGGGCTGGGGATTTAGCTCAGCGGCATAAGCACCTGCCTTGCAAGCAGGCAGTCGTGAGTTCGATCCCTGGTACCGATAAAAAGGAAAAAAGACAAAAAGAAAAGAAAACAAACAAACAAAAAAAAAGATGTGTGAACTTAAGCAAGTTAATTAAAGTCTCTAGATCTCAGTTTCTTTATCCGCAGAATGGGAATGATGCCCTGTAAGGACAGAAGAATTAAATGAGGCCTGATTGGTAGCCGTGTAACACAGTGGTTAAGAAAGCAGGTGCAAAAAAAAAAAAAAAAAAAAAAAGAAAGAAAGAAAGGAAACCAAAAAGAAAAAGAAAAGAAAGCAGACTTGAGTCAGAGGACCTGGTTTGAAACCAGGAGCGCCCATCTACTCTCTCTGTCTCAGCTTCTTTATCTACCAAATGATAAATCACAGAATTTTTATGAGGATGAAGTGACTCAACACAAAGTACTTGGAAGAATTCTTGGCACAAAGTGAAGTATTCAGACAATGTCGGCAGTCCTTTGCAAGGTGCGGGACACACAGCGGTGATCAGTCCATGCATGGGCAGCATTCTTGGTGGCCCTGTTGCTGGTCAAGAGCAGGGTTCTGGGTTCTGTGACTCCCTCCTGTCAACCGCCACCCTACGCTGTCTTGATTTAGAATTGAGTATTGGAGGGGTCTCCCTGGAGGTCGGCATGGAGGGGCAAAGCCTGTCTTAGGTGATGAGAGAGAAGCCCACACTCAGAGCCAGACCCTAGAAGGCACCTGAGCAGCGTCCAAAGGGCTGGGCCTGGGAGAAGGAGCTGCCTGGCACGGAGCTGTGGGAACACTGTGCTCCTTGGCAGTTTTCCTGGGCAGAGGGGGCTCAGGGTCACCAGACCAGGGAACAGGGCTCTTGCAGAGGGCTCTTCTGTACTGGGTGGAGGGGCTAGAGAAAAGGATTGTAGAATGAATGCCCAGCCCCAGGCTAGGACCTTGGGCCTGAATCCTGTTGAACACAGTGGGGCTCAGCTACTGGAACGTGCTGACTGTGTTTTTGGAGCTTTCTTTCTCTTTTGTCAGGAGTTATTCCTCGTCTTCATCATTCAAATCCAGTCCATGAACAGGACCTGGTCCACTCCACCAACCATCTCACCAATCTTCCTGCTGCTCCCTGCCTCAACTGCCTCATTTGTGGTCCATCATTTCTGTCACCTAGACTCCTGCTGGAACCCCGGAAATATTTTCCACTTTCCCTTATTCCAGTATCACCCCTTCTCCACTCAGCACCTAGTGTGAACTTTTTTAAAAAATGGTTTTATTGAGATATAAATGACATACAAATCATCTGCATAAACAATAACTTGTAGCGGAGGATTGTGTAATCACAGCACAATCTTAGAATATTTTCATCCTCCCCTGAAGAAAATCTATACCCATTTGCAGTCACTCCCATGTACTGCCAGTGCCTCGACCCTACCAGTGTGGGGAAACCTCCTGTCCCTGTGGATCCGCCTTTCCTGGACATTTTATATAATTACCATCTTGCAATGTATGTCTTTTTTTTTTTTTTTTTTTTTTTTGTACCAGGGATTGAACTCACAACTGCATGCTTTCAAGGCAGGCGCTTATACCACTGAGTTAAATTCCCAGCCCCCAATGTATGTCTTTTTTATTTTTTTGTACCAAGAATCATACTGAGGGCCTCATGCTTGCCTTGTCCTACAGCACGTGTCTTTTGCGACTGGACTCTTTCTCTAGGCATAATGCTTTGAAGGTTCATCTGTGTTGTAGCAGACAGCTGTGCTTTTGTTTTGGTTTGTTTTCCGTTTTTTTGAGACAGTTCAGGCTGGCCTTGAGCTCACTTTGTAGCCCAGGCTGGTCTCAAACTCGAAACAATCCTCCTGCCTCAGCCTCCTGAGTGCTGGGATTACCTGCATGAGCCACCACGCCTGGCATATTTTCATTTCTTTTGAGTATATTCCTAGAAGTAAAATTTTACGATCATATGATAACTAAACTTTCTTATTTTTCAGTGCATTTTTGTTATTGTTTTGGTTTTTTTGTGGTACGGGTGATAGAAGCCAGGGTCTTCACACTGAGCTACATCCCCAATCCTGTTTTCTTTCTCTGTACTTGACTTTATATTTTCAAAAAGTTTTGATTAGCACACATTTGCAGGTCATAATGTTTACATTCATCTTAGGGAATGGGTACATGTACTTAACATATCTTAATTATTTTATCCTGCCCCATTACTACTTTCTAAAATTGTTTTCTGTGAGGCCAGGACTCCTTGAATTTCCCAGGCTGGGTTTGCATTTGTGATCCTCCTGCCTCAGCCTCCCAGAGTGCGGGGATTATTGGTGCGTGACACCACTCCCAGCTTCATATGGCTTTTCTTACCATAACCATCCTAGTGGAAGTGAACGGTGTCTCACTGTGGTTTCCGTTTCCATTTTATCATGCTCACAGGCTTTCTGGGTCAGAAGTTCAAGGAGAACACAGTAGAGGTGGCTCCACAATGTCTGGAGTCTCTACCAGACTTAAAGGCCGGAGGTGACTCAACGGCTGGGTTGAATTAATCTGAAAGCGTCTTAGCTCTGTTCTTGGGCAGTTTTCCTGGGAACAGGCTTTGTCCTCAGCCGAGCTGAGCCTAGAGTATCTACACATCCTCTCTCCATGGTGATCTCTGAGTCAGAGAATTGGGACTTCCTCATGGCATGGCCACTGTGGTCCAAGACAGCCGATGGAAACTGGGTCTTCACTTCAAAAGTCACATAATGTCACTTCTGCCTGTCTGATGTGACTCAAGTTGGAGGGACATACACCCTGCTTGTAAATGTCACTGCACTGTAGGAAGAACATGCAGGCTGAGAAATGCTGTAGCCACTTCTGGAAATTTGGAATCTGATTACTGCTGGGAAAAATATAACAGAAAAATGTGTTTCTTATGATTTTGACCTTTTAGCAAGATGCTGAGATGCTCTGTCTTCCCAGGGACCCTTTCCAAGATCTTGTCCTGAACACAGAACTGGACAGGAAATGAAATAGTGGGCTTTTACGATTTTTTGTTTCATTTTGTCTTTTTGAGACAGGGTCTCTTTATGCAGGCCAGGCTGGCCTTGAGCTCACTTTGTAGCTCAGGCAGGTCTCAAATTCACAATGATCCTCCTGCCTCAGCCTCCCGAGTGCTGGCATTATAGGCCTGTGCCACCACACCTGGCTGGGCTTTCACATTTACTAAAAGTATTTTGGGGGGCTGGGGATTTAGCTCAGTGGCATAAGCACCTGCCTTGCAAGCAGGCAGTCATGAGTTCAATCCCCAGTACCAATAAAAAGGAAAAAGACAAAAAATTTTAAAAAATAAAGTATTTTTTTTTCCTGGAGTTTGTAAACTGAACCCAGGAACTCTTGCTAGCCAGGCAGACGCTGCACCGCTGAGCTAAATCCCTGGCCCAATTAAGAGTATTAAAGGTAAGAAAAGAAGGGAGAAGTACTGTGGACAGAAGTGCTCTGTGAGTGACTATAGGAAAGGAAAGATGCTCTGCATGCAGTGAGCCACAAAGAAAGATAGAAGGAAGTGATCACAAGGCCAGCAGCTGCCATCCCTACACCCTTTCCGCTGTCAGATCAAGCTATCCTATCAAAAACTTACTTGAACTTGTGCCAGGAGAATGAGAGCCAGCACTCTCTGATTGGTATCAGGTACAGGGCTTGGACACTGTTCTGCACACACATCCTGAATATTCACGATGGACAGGACTCACCCTCTGGCCAACCACTTTGCCATGTCCTAATCTCCTGTCTCAACCTCAGCTGATTCCCTGACACCACCTAAGAGTCCTGGATCATTTCTCTGCTCAATACACTTGTTATGTCAAACTTTCTTCAGGTAGAAGGTACTTACTATGTATGATTGCCTAATATCAACCTCTATTCGTCCCCTCAGCCAGTTTCTTGAGGAAGCTGAGAGACAGCTGAACACTCACTTGTTTGGCTCGTATGTGACACAGTTCTGTCCAGTGAGAGGTAAGCAGAAATCTGCTGAGGGACTTCTAGGTGAGCTCCTGCCTTGCACAAGAAAGTGCTTCGTGAAGTAGAGGCAGCCAGCCCTCCTACAGTCCTCAGGGAAAGGCCAGAAAAATTGCAGAAACTATTGGCCCTGGTATCATTGAGCCACTGAATGCAATGCAATGCAGCTGTTATCTTGAGGTGCTTATCTGATAAGAAAATAAATCCTTATTTGTGTTAAGCCAGTGTGTTGATTTATTGAAACTCAAAAACTGCAAAAGTAGGGCTGGGGATACAGCTCCTTGGCACAGTGCCTACTGGCAAGCGCGAGGTCCTGAGTTTGATTCCTGGTACCTAAATAAAAGAAACCTGCAAAAGTAAAGGGCTTTATGTGGCGTCTTAAGAACTGCTATTCAGAAGACACTACTGTGAATCAGTTTTCCAAATAAAGAAGGTAGGGAAACTGGGAGCTTGAAAGGGGAAGCAGTACAAAGCAATAAAAATTCCTTTTTAGAAAAATTCTAAATTTGAGAACAGACGCTGTGTGACAGGGGCCAAGAGAAGATACGGGATTCAGGGTGCTGAACCAGGAGCATCATGAGCTTGCCAGCCCACCAAGACTGAATCTCAAAATGAAAAGAGGATTGGCAATGCTGTATTCCCAGGATCCTCCTGCCTCAGCCTCCCAAGTGCTGGGATTACAGGTGTGCATCACCACACCTGGTTCCATTTTCAAAAACTCTGTCAGTGTTGTTTTCATGTTAATTTTCCTTTTCACAACAGTCAACGTTGCTGATCCAACTACCCTGCTCAATCAACGTCTTGCTTCTTCCCTGTCTGTCTTTGAAAGCCTTCAGCTGGAAATTCTTTCCTGCAAGCAGATCTGCCTGCTTCCCCTGCATCCATAGCCACCAGCTCCTTCTTTCCCTCCAGGGACACTAGAAGAGGGACCCAGGGAGGGGGAGGCAGAGTAAATGGAGAGACGTTAATCCCACGTCCACTTTCCATTCATCTCTCAGTTTTGTTTTACTTATTTAGTCTTAGGTCTGGGCCTCTATCACTCAGCAGTGACCTTAAAGAGGCCCCTAAAGTAGTAAACACTTGAGTTGATCTTAAGCTGTGTCCATTACAGGCACTGTATTACATGCTGGGGTCACCAAGGTAGCAAGTAACAAATCCCAGTGGAGAGAAATCGATTGACAAGGCAGAGGGGTGGAACCTGGAGAGATGGCTCCTGAGAGACAAGAGGGGTCAGAGAATGGTGCTGCCAAGGCTCTTTGTCAAGCGTAATTTACACAGCAAAGTCACAATAGTAGCTGTTCAGGGGGCTGGGGATTTAGCTTAGTAGCATAAGCATCTGCCTTGCAAGCAGGCAGTCGTGGGTTCAATCCCCGGTACCAATAAAAAGGAAAAGGTCAAAAAAAAAATAGTAGCTGTTTAGCTAATACTGATTGGATAGGGAAACAAGTCACACAACAAGGCTATCTGAAAAGAATAAAGGCATTTTAGAGATGGGTCCAGATATTCTTAGCACCCACCTGAATGACTGATTCCTATCTGGATTTATTGGACCAGCGAGTGCTAATTTTTGTATAATATAACCGCAAGTTATTGTTTATCCCATAAGAAGGCACACAGGGGCTGGGTGTGGTGGTGCAAGTCTGTAATCCCAGCACTAAGGAGGCTGAGGCAGGATCGTTGCCAGTTCGAGACCAGCCTGGACTAAAAGGTGAGCTCAAGGCCAGCCTAATTTGCATAGCGAGACTGTGTCTCGAAAGGAACCAAAAAAAAAAAAAAAAGCATGTAAGCATATAGTCCTGTCCTAGCCATCAGATCTTTATCTTGAGGCCCACTCTTCTCCAAATGTGCCTCTGTCACAATTCTGATGTCTTCATTTTATGCTGACTTCCTTAAGAACCCGGACCCTCTCTGACTCTACAATATATTTTCCATCTAACTTACACAATGATTTTCGTTTTCACTCTAAATCATCATGACGGCAACAGAATCAATCTCTCAACCTCAACTACTATCTCAAAAAACTTATGTGTTTTACAACTTGATGTTTAGTGACCAGTCTCTGCTAGATAGAGCTGAGGTCCAGGGCTTGTATTTTTATTCATTTATATCTCTGGCACGTGGTAGGCGCTCGATCAATGCCTGTTGAGAGCGTGGAGCACTTACTTCACAGAGTTCAGCTATTAAGTCAACCCAGCTACAGTAGAATTTTCTTTCTCCGCCTCCCTCCCCTCCCCTCCTCTTTCAATCCCCCGCCCCCTTCTCCCTCCCGTTCCGCCACGCCCCCTTCCCACCCCTCACGCTCCAATCCTCTCCGGACTTCCCGCCTCCAATCCCCGGCCCCGCCTCCCGCCGCGTCGCGAAGGCGGAGGAAAGAGCAGGCGGGCTTTACGGCAGCCGCGTTGCGGCGGGGCGGGGCGCCGGGTGGCTGGCGCGCTTGGCGGCAGCGGTGGGAGGCAGGCCGGCAGACGGACTCGCGGTCGGGTGGTGGCGGCCGTGCTCGCTAGTGAGGGCGGGAGGGAGTGAGTCACTGAGCGTGTGTGAGGGAGGGAAGGAGCGAGCTAGCAGCCCGCGCCGTTCGTCCGCAGCACCCGCCAGGCCCCGCCGCTTCTCCGCCGCCCCGCGCCCAGGCCGGGCCAAGCCGAGCCGAGCCGGGTCGGGTCCGGTCCGGGCCATGCTGCTCACCGTGTACTGTGTGCGGAGGGACCTCTCCGAGGTGACCTTTTCCCTCCAGGTCGACGCCGACTTCGAGCTGCACAACTTCCGCGCGCTGTGCGAGCTCGAGTCCGGCATCCCCGCAGCCGAGAGCCAGGTATGCCGGGCAACGAGGGGGCCTCCCCGGAGCCGTCCCTCCCTCCGCTGCTGGAGGAGACCTGGGAAGTGAGGCGAGCGGGGGTGGTGGTGCCTGGCTCGCCCCCGCAGCCAGGAGGCCGCCGGAGTCGGGAGCTGCGCCCACATCCTGGCTGCGGCTGGCGCTGGCGCTGGGGTGGGGACCCGGGTGCGGATCAGAGAACCTGGCCGCGGACGCGCCCACTGCAGCGCAAGGGGCACGTGGGCTGCCGGGCAGCTCTCCACGCCTTCTGGCGCGTCGGCCCCTTCTCCCGCACTAATCCAGAGTTTGAGGTGTCACTGTGAACCCAAGCATTAGCCCTGAGATTGCAGGCAGGGTTCAGACACCCTGCTTCTCCAACCAGAAATACCAGTTTGGAACACTGGTAGATAGATGTTCATCTGCTGTTTAGGAGAGGGTTCCAGCTTAAATATACGTAATTTATCTTTAAGCGTGTACTTGTACTTTAGGTGAGGGGGAAAAGTTTGAAATACGCTTTTTTGGTTTTTTTTTGAGGTCTTTGGAAAAATTCTTTTTCTCCCTGTCGCATGCGTTTCAGGTTAAGTTCTTGTAAAAAAGTAATTGATTAGACTCGCGCTGCTCCCCCCCCCCCCACATTCTCTCCTGGTAGTAGGCCAAAAGTTCCTCCTGGTTTTGTTTTTGGAGACAAGGTCTGTGTAGTCGAGGCTGGCTTTGAACTCAGTATGTAGCCTGGGCTTGCCTCGGGTTCACTATCAACCTGGTTTAATCTGTCTCAGTCTCTCTAGTACTGGAACTAAGGACGACAAACGTGCGCCACTACGCCAGACAGAGGCTCCTTCTTTCAGGTCACAGTTCAGTTTGGGTCAGTTCCTACTTCAGTACTTTATAAGGATATACGCTTGCAAATTGCCTAGGGTGGTATCTCGCTCGTTGAGACTGTTTCATGGGTACTGGAAAGGAGTTTAACAGCTCACATTTTAAATAAGCAAAGTAATTCTTAAGGTGCTTTGGGGCTGTCAGTTGTTTGTCAAAACAGATGACAACAACTCCTTAGCCTTTATCTTAAAGCACTTTTCGACTTGATAAAGAGGGCTTTGGAGGACATAGTCTAAACATCAGAAAAACTAGAAATCTTCCAAGGCTCCAGAATGTAAATCTTTATTTCCTACTGCAGTTATGAAACAGTTCCAGAAACTATTGCCCAACTCTAGCTTGTTATGCCCTGTCTTATGGTAAACAAATGTGTCAATATTTTGTTCAGAAGGCTGGTTCTCTTACACAATGTGAACTTTAGAACCTTGGCATAAAGCTATTAGAAAAAAATTATTTCAGGACACAGAGTGTCATTTAAATACTATCTGGCAAGAGTTACAAAGAAATTGGCAGAACCCCCACCCCAGGTTCCCCAAAAAATTCATAAAAACTTACGAATCAGTTCTTTCAGTGAATCTCCTGGGGAGAGCTAGGAAAGAAGAAAAAATTGGCTTTCCGAATTTTTTTTTCCTTCTAGCTGTTATAGTACCCTGATTGTAATCATCAGTGTTAGAGAAATAAATAAAAACTAAAATATAAGTAGGATTGGGAAAGAAGAGAGATGGAGACTGTTTCTCTTCCTGAACCCTGTGTGTGTGTGTGTGTGTGTGTGTGTGTGTGTGTGTGTGTGTGTAAAAGAGAGATATGCTGGACATGGAACCCAGGACTTTGATCCTGTAGGGTGAGTGCTCTACCTCTGAGCTATATACATACTGTGCTACAGTTTTTCAGATGGTTTTAACAAAAAATTTTAGTGACTTAAAGGGGAATGTCAAATGGAAAGACAAATGTACTGTATATACGGTGGTGGTGCTGCCTGTAATCCCAGCTACTCAGGAGGCTAAGGCAAGGAGAATTGCAGGTTTGAAGCTAGCTTGTACAATTAGCTAGATTCTGCCTCAAAATAAAGGAAAAGGGCCAGAGATAGAGTTTATTGTCCTTTGGGGCTTAGTCCTCAGTATTGTTTTTTTTAAAAAAAAAAAAGTGTATAGTCGATGAGGACTGTCCTCTGCCGATTGGGAACTTTAGGAAAACTACCTAGTTAAATGGTTAGGCCAACTCCAAATTCTTCTTGGTCCATTATGTCAGTATTTTACCATTTGCTTTCTTCCCAAGCCAAATTAGCATATACAAATCCGGGCTGCCTAGTGTTAAGCCTGTATTAGATATCTGTAAACAGCGGCCTGGTTTTCGAGTTAGTTCTGTTGGCTCCTTTGTAACCTGACAACATAATGTCTATTTTAGGATGTCTGGTGGTCGGTTGTCTTTCACTGGCTTGCCCATCAGGCAGGAACAGTATCCACCCAGACTCTTGAGTCACTTCCTTTCATCAGATCATAAAAGTAAACATAGTAGTTTTTAGCCCCGAATAATCATTTTCCTTTATACCCACCACAATGTACCTCTCAGGGCTCTGCCCTGCTTGTTTACTGGACTCTGATTTACTTTCTTGCCTTTATCTTCTATCATTCTCTCCCCCCTCCCCCTGCTTTTTGTTTTCTGTCTTTGAGTCAGGGTCTTGGCCAGTCTTTCAGGCTGGCCTTGACCTCACTGTATAGCCCAAGCTAACCTCAAACTTGCACTGGTTCTCCTGCTTCAGCCTCCTGAGTGCTGGGACCCTAGGCATGTCACCACCGTGACTGGCCTACCTTTCATTTCTGTTTCTTAAAGGTTTTTTCTCCCCTCCCCTGCCCTGCCCTCCTCTTCTCTTCTTTTACTGTTTTTTATAAATGTCCTGGCTAGATTTTCCTGCCACGGGGTGTGGGATGTTCAGACCACTGACCTCCAAACACATATGCCTGTCTGTTTCACAACATGTTCCTTATTGTGTACATAATACATTATGTATAGACTAACGGTCTTTATGTGCCATATGTGTAGATGGTAACATTTTGTAGATCACGTATGTTTTACATGTGTGTACATACAATGCACTGTGTGTCAGTAATACACATGGAGTATTACCTGTGTATGTGATAACCACAAAATAATTCAAAGAATGAGTTAAATGAAAATTCTAGAATTTTCTATTTTCTGCCTGAACCCTGAAAGAATTGCCTTGCATGTCTGCCCTTTGTTGGGAACCACTAGTTTACAATTCAGTCTTTATGTCAGTGTTGAATGTGCATGTGCAGACACTTGAGAAGGTGTTAGTTTTTAATAACTAGATTGATGATAATCGCTGTAATGGAACGATAACACATTCAGGATGGAAACCATCTCCATTTGTGCATGTGATTAAAGCTGGGCATGTTGCATCACTTAACGCAAGTGTGGGCCTGGAAGCCAGTCGGCAACTGTTTGATGCTTTGGTGCAGACTTGGCTGGGTGAACATCAAATAATTATCAGAGCTTTAGCATCACTTTAAATTAAGGTCTTGGGTTTTTTTGAAACATCATTATAATTTACCTGTGTAGGAGGCATGTCATAAAAACATGTACAGAATTGAAGGACCCTCAAATGAAAGGCATATTTAAATGCCAAATAAGATCAGTAACTGTATGATCCTGGAAATGCTGCTCTGCACAGAGCATGATTCATGGTTTGAAGGACACTATTTTAAACCAGTGGAAACTGAAAGTTTCTGTTGTAGCTGGTTTTGGCATGTTTATTTGCTCAGGTAATTTTCTTTTTTGTTTGTTTTTGTTCTTGATTTTTGAGACAGGGTCAGATAGTCCAGACTGGCCTCAAATTCAAAGCAGTCCTCTTGCCTCAGCCTCCCAAATACCGTAATTACAAGCGATTTTAAAAAAAATAAATAGTACAGAAATTTGGGAGTAGGGTCACATGCCTGTAATCCCAGCACTCTGAAAGCTGAAGCTTGAGGATTGAAAATTGGAGCCCAGCCTCAGCAAGAGGATTTTAAAAATACACAGTCACTTATCACTCTGTAACACAGACATAGCTGCAATTTACTTTTTAGTATATTTATTTTCTAGGCTCTGTTCTTTTTATATATTTAATTGTCTTTTAAACATAATAGATCCTAAACAGTGTAAACAATTCATGTTACTTTCTTCAGTAACATACCACTACATTGTCAGTGTTTTCCTGTAAGGTTTTAAATTCAACTTTGGTCTATCAGCTGCAGAATAAGGTTAAATGGGTTTATTGTGATTCATTTAACAATTTCCTTGTTGCATAGTGTTTGAACTGAGAAAAATTGAAAGCAGTTATGAGTAACATTGCAGTAGACACCTATTTATGTAAGGCTTTGTTTCCCATTTCTGACTGTGTTCTCAGGATAAACTCAGATAAGGGAATTACCAGGTCAAAGTCATGAATTTTTTTTTTTTAAAGACAAGAGTTTTTAAAAACCGTCTTGCTGTGTGACCCAGGCTGGCTTTGGATTTGTGGCTATTCTCCTGCCTCAGCCTCCTGAGTACTGGGATTACAGGCATGTGCCCCCACACCTGGCCCTAAAGGCATAAACTTTTGAAAGGATTCTCAGTAATATTTTGAGATTGCCTTGCAGAAGCTAGTAAAAGTCAAGCTGTGTGTTAGAGAAGATAGTAGCTGTGGTTGATGACATGTGCGGGCTCTCAGTTAATGGTAGTATTTATTATTATGAAGCCATTCAGATGTGATTCCAAGAGCTTGGTGTCAACACTTTATGGTCCTCAGTGCTGGAAACGGACTGCTAAGATTTCTGTTAATTGAAGGCTCTTGTGCAGAGACCAGAAAACATTTGACCTCATGCTTAAAGCTTTTGGAGTGCTATTAATTAGTTTGTTGTTAAATGTTGATTAACATTAGGATTCAGCCTCTAGGGTGCCTTCCCTGGCATCCGCACCAGCAGTCATGCCAGTTTTGCAGATTTGGACTTGTTGCTGTCTAAAGCCCCTGTTGCATGTGCTTGGGACTGACACACCTGAGTTTTGAGAATTACAGCTTTCTAGTTGGGTAAAATCAATGTGGGAAGCATTGCCAGTGCTGTCACCAGTATCCATTTTGTTTATAGCAAGAGAAGAAGCCTTCAGGCTAATAGACACTCAGGTTAAATTGTAAGGTCACACAGATTAACCTACAAAATAATTCTTGGTCCCCTTCCCTAACCCATATTGAGGCTTGAACTCAGGCCTCCTGTATGCTTGGCAGTGCTGTATCACTGGGCTATATTCTATATTCCCAGCCCTTCTCGGATTCTTAAGCCTATTTTAACAAAAGAAATTAGTTCTTTTTTTGGTGGGGGGTACTGGGGGTCAAACTCATCACCTTGTCCTTGGCAGGGAAGTGCTTGAGCCACTGAGCTAAATCCCTGGCCCCAAGAAATTAGTTCTTTGTGGCAATTGTAATTGTAGTTAAGCTTGAATTTTTTTTTTATTTTTTAGTTAAGCTTTAATTTATATTTCATTCATGTTCTCAGAGTGAAATGGAGTCCACATGCTGACTTCTCAGTGTGAGGAATGTTTGCTCCTCATCTAGAGGGTGCTCCTCATCTTTTGTTCTGTTCTGTTCTGGTTTTTGGTTTTTTTGGTTGGCTTGTTTGTTTTGGTTTGGTGTCTTGAGACAAGGTCTTGCTTTGTAACTCAGGCTGGCCTTGAACTTTCAGTGATCGTCCTGCTTCAAACTCCTGAGTGCTGGGATTGCCGCTGTGCACCGCCATGCCTGGCTGTCATCGAGGGCAGAACGCAGTATTCCATAGTTCATATACATGCTGGATTTAGCACCTGCTGTATTGGGATGTTCCACTTTCATTGTTAGATGTCATTGCCTTCTGTAAAAGAGTGATACTGCCTGTTGAGGAAATGCGACCCCTGGACAGTGATGAAGGAACGCGTGATGACTATAAAACGGGGACACAGAGGAGGCCTGCATTCTACCACTGAGCCACACCTCCCAGCCCCAGGGTTTCTTCATGTTCAGGGCAAAGACAGTATTCCTGGGTGTAGGTCACTAGTGGTAATGAATGGCTTAGTAGCTCTTTTTCAAGTCAGAGACTGATTCACCTGGCCACAGTGGAGTTCCATCTGGGGAGTTTATATGTGGTACCAGAGAAGAGTCTGGGCTTGAATGTCAAGCGGGTGTGGTTTCAGTCTCAGCTCTCTTCCTTTTTAATAAAGGTCGAGTAGTGGGAAGTGATGGTGGTAGTGGGGATTGAACCCAGGATGTTGGCACCAGAATGTGTCCCTAACCCTGTCTGTCTGTCTGTCTGTCTCTGTCTGTCTCTGTCTGTATTTCGGCAGGTTCTCCACTAAATAACCCAGGCTGGGTTCAAGCTTGAATTTGTAATCCTGCTACCGCAGCGTCCCAGAGTGCTAGATTATAGGTGTGCACCACCACACCTGGCCTTAGTTCTCTTCTTCATCTCTTTGTGACCGCTATACATATGTAAGCCCAGTCCATAAAGTGGGACAAATAATGCCTGAAGCGGCTATGAGACTTACATACGAGAATTAAGTGGAAGACTGAGGACAGGGCCTGGTATAAGCTCACTCAGTGGTAGCTGACTACCATTTTAATCTGGCTTTTCACGTACAATATCCCACCCAAAAAGCAGTCAGCGATCTTGCAGATAGGATCATTCTTGGCTTTTGTTTTGTTCCAGTTTTGGTGGTGCTGGGGATGGAACCCAAGGCCTCCACGCATGCTGGGCACGTGCTGTACCATTGAGCTACATACATTCTCAGCTCCTAGAATCATTCTGATTCTGCTGAGTTTGATTTTGATTCCTTGTTTGTAAGTAAATTTTTCTCGTATGTGCACTTGCATAACATGTCTCTGCCCCAGGATCTGATCATCCGTCTGTGTGGTGACTGTTGCATTCATGAACTGGGGAGCCAGAGGTGAGGGAAGTAGGGGTCAGTGGCTTTACAGTGTTGCTGCTGCCTTATCCAGCCTGTCTTCTAGGCCTTCCCCTTGGCATGCCCCTCACTGCTCACTGTGCACTGTGCCTGTGAGGCCTGCCTCTTCCGACTTACGGCTGTTTTTCCATGCATTCCCACAGATTCTGATACGACTCTTGGTTATATTGCCAAAAATCTGTGTTAGTTCGGGTGTATTTTTACCCTGGGATCTGTGCTTATGTAAGAGTGTGAACGGGATGATCCAGTGCCAATGGTAGGCTGTTGATGTCTTAGCTCTGCAAGCTGCGGGTGAGAACTTACAATACTTTTTCTAGTCTTGTGTGAAACTTGTAAAGTATAATAGGACCTGCAAGTTCTGCAAATCAATTTTTTGTTCATCCCCTGGATGATTCTGTTTATGAGGGTTAGTTCTTTGGCTCGTCTCAGCACAAATTCTGGGAGCAGATATGATAGAAACCCTTGCCTTTGTAGTTGAAATGCTGTATTTTCAGTTTCTGCTCCAGGGAGCCTTCCTGGGGACCTCTGAGGGCAGGTGAGAGAGCACCGTGGAATGATAGCTGTCATGGTTATGTAGCCCAAATGCTTGCCTGACAAATGGGAAATATGAGGCCTGACTCAGCTGAGTGGCAGCCTCTCTCCGGTAATTATTGCGGGGTCAGGACACGACTTGTGTTCCTCAGGGTGCATATGGCCCAGTGTCAAGCAAATCCTTAGGATGAAAACCTTTCAAAGCCATGGTTATTCTCAGTGCCCCGGTGGAGTAAATGGTAACGCAGGTCAAGTCTGGTCTTCATTTATGGTTAAATTATATGCTTTTGTGTGTTGTATTTTTTCCCTTTCACAGCACATTGTTATTTTTGTACTCTCAGGTTTTCTTCGGTAACCACACATCATAAAAAAACTTTTGGCAGTGCATCCCTGAAGCTTTTTTCCATTGATACTTACTGTTCCTTTCTGAATTTCTTTCACTTTTATTTTTTCCTCATACATAGAAGAGTGATAAATGTTAATGAAAGAGAAGAAAGAAGGCCAGAAGGTTTATATTTGGGAACTATTTAAACTTACCAGTGTACAAGCTTACTTAAGAGTGAACATGTTAGTTAATAGTACTGTAGTTAGTGTACTCAGAATAACTTCCCTTCTAACTCAGAGTTAAATCTAAAATTGTGTCCGCTGTTTCTGTAAATTCATTCACCATTTTGTTTTGTTATTTTTTTTGAGACGGTATTGCTCTGTAGTCCATGATGTTGTTGTTGTTGTTGTTGTTGTGTTTGTTTTTTGGTACTGGGGATCAAACTCATGACTTTGCACTTATCAGGCAAGCACTTAAGCTGCTGAGCTAAATCCCCACCCCAATCCTGGCTGTTCTGACCTTGGCAGCCCCCCTGCTTCAGCCTGTCGAGTTGCTGAAATTGCAGCTGAGCCATGCACCCTCACATCTCGCCCATTCAGTCTTTAACTCAACAAATATTTGCACATCTATGTATAACAGGCCCTGTCCTAAGCATTTGTGATATGGTAAATGAAAGAAGGTCATTATTACCAAGTAGTTTCCATTTTAGTAGGATAGAAAGACAGTAAACAGGCAAATACAGTATTCTGGGAGGGTACTTTTTTTCTTCCTGTTTTTTGAGACTGAGTCTTGGCTATGTAGTCCAGGCTAGCCTTGAACTCCTGGCCTCAGCCTCCCAAGCACTGGAATTACAGGCAAGCACCCTCACACCCTGCTCTACATTTTATTTTTTTGCAATGCCAAGGTTCAAACTCCAGGCAGGTACTCTGCCATGAGCTATTGCCAGTATGAGAGTACATTTTTAGATAGGCTATAAGGTAAGGGGTCTGAAGAGGTCTAAAGAGACCTTTAAAAAATGACAGGAAACAATATTAATCACTCAGGTGACAGGAACAAGTGAAACAGTCCTGTGGGGAAATTGATTTCTTGTTTATTGAGAAACAGCTATCATGTGATGAAGAGGTCACAGGGAGCCGGGGTTCAGATTGCTGGGCCCTGATGGGGATAGGAAAGATTCGCCATCCCTTTCTAGGTTGATGGGGATCTAGCAGAGTTTGAAGAGGGAATGGCATTATCTGATCAGGTGGGAAACTGTCATCCTGTTTTATACCATGTTACTTCCCAGTGCTTTATGCTAATTTATGTAATAGATTATTACATCTTTTCTTGTTGTAGCTTGTTCATGCCGAAAGACCTCTCACAGACAACCACAGATCACTGGCTTCTTATGGCTTGAAAGATGGGGACGTGGTGATTTTACGACAGAAGGAGAATGCAGACCCTCGACCTGCAGTGCAGTTCCCAAGTAAGAAAACCTAACGTTTAGCAGTCCCAACGCTAACCTCCATAGGGAGCAGAGTGTATGGTTCTGAGTTTCCGATTGGCTTTGGATTCCGAGCCCCAGGACACAGAACCTGCCTCTGCCTACTGTGGAACCTTGGGCAAGTTACTTGACTTCTCTCAGTTTTTTCCTCTTCTATAAGATAGGCGCCAGATCTTAGAGCTGATGTGAGAATAATGCATGTGAAGCCTTCAGCATGTTGCTGCCCTTGGTGAAAGTTAGCCTTTGTTGCGATCAGTGAATCTATCCAGGGAAGGACCAGTGGGTGAACCTGTAGTTTCTAAGAGCAGCCTTGTTTTGGGGGAGCATTTTTAGCTAGCCAAGCACTTGCACCTGCATTTCTCATGCTCTAGTAACTTAGTTGTGGGGGAAGACTTCCCACCTTACAGTCATTTTCATTAGCATGTGTGTGAAGCTCAGGTTTTAAGTGATCATCAGAGTTACCCAGCTGTAGTCTCTGCGCTCGGGAGGCTAAGGCAGGAGGATCGTGAATTCAAGGCCACTCAGGACTACGTTGTGAGATACTGTCCTAAAAAAACAAAAAGAAAAACTTACACAGAGTGGTTGTCCCCTATCAGCTGTTACCATTCAAGAAGAATCTTACCTAACTTGGGTGACCCATCCAGAGTAGGTGTTTATAGGCGAGAGTCTGCATTTGGAGTTAATGTGTACCTGAGTAGTTTGTAGAATTGAGTGAATGTGGTGTGGATGTATGTGCTCATTTGATGGTGAGAGGATCCATAGCTTTCTTTAGATGCTCAGATTCACAAGGTCCTGATGTGGAAAACCTTGAAATGCATTAGTTTTTAGTACTTCCTGCTATTCTGGTAGAATTATAATTACTTTCTTTCATGGTAGCAGGGACTAACCTCAGGGCCCCGTGCATATTAGGCAAGCAGTATACCACCGAGCTACATCCCCAACCCTTTAAAAAAAAATTTTTTTTTTGAGGCAAGATTTTGCTAAGTTCCCAGACTGACCTCGAGGTTACAGTCCTCCTGCCTCAGCCTACAGACTAGTTAGCTGTGCACCACAGTGCCCAGCTGGTAGATGTCCTCAAACAGTTTCTGCCTCTGAGTCATGTGTTTAAAGTATGTGCTAAAGGTTGATACGTGTCTGGGGTGATAACCAGCTTCAGCTGGGTGCACAGTGATTCCATTCAGTCTGAAACTGGAGCGACTCGAGACCATCAGATGCTGGCTTCCTCAGATCTGGATTGCATTAGCCCCTTGGGGCCACGGCTGAGTTTCAGAACGAGCAGTGGTTCAGGGATGCCAGTTGGTAAAAAGCAAATCTTCCTGTCTTTCTTCGGTTAATGTGACATTGTTAGCACCAGGAAGTCACTGCTTTTTTTCTATGCTGTCTCCACATGGACAAGACAACCTGTATGTAGTCAGGAAATAAAGTTTACAAAGTGAACAAGTTTTCAAAGATTATTCTGAAATGAATGGACTCTCAAGATAGTATGTCCTAGAAGTAGAGATAAACTTTCTTGACTTGCAAATAAGGCGCACCCTAATCATCACAAACCTTGCGGAGGTTGTGTGGTCTCCACCCTCTCCCCGCTTGGGTGTTCTCGTCCCCTCTCTGAAGGTGCGTACTGACTGCCAGGCGAAGTCTGTGTGACGACACGGCTGGCTGAGCACATGCTGTAAGTTGTAAGGCTGAAACCTTACACTTGGGTTTGAACATTCCCTTTTTGTATGTGAGGGCCAAAAGGCCTCAGAATGGTCCTGTATTTGCAACAGTTTAGATCATTAAATTTATTTTGGGGGTTTGGAAAAAAATGTAATTTGCTCTAAGGATATACTTCAATGGTTTGTAGTGTATTCAGAGTTGTCCAGCCATCGTCACGATTAATTTTAGTTCATTTTTATTACCAGTACTGAGTAGTACTCATTACCTCTTTACCAGTAAGCTCAAGTCTGCATTCTATCTCTGTGTTTACCTATTCTGGACATTCCGTGGATGTGGAGTCGTGCAGTGTGTGAGTCGTTTGAAGAGGGATTAGTGCGCCCATGCTTTGCTTTGCTTTTAATAAGGTCAGCTCAGCCTAGGATATAGAACCTGGCAGGGAGCCTCCTAATTTCCTCAGGCATAAGAAGAGTTAGCCTCTGGTGCGTGTAAGAGTATAAATTCAAAGAACCCTTAAGAACTCCCCAGGGCTGGTGGCGCACACCTGTAATCCCAGCACCTGGATTAGTTGATAGAATTCTAGAACTCAAATCTACCTAGACAGGCCCCCTTTGTTTACTTCTTTTTCCTGTTTTGTAGCAGCAAATAAGCCAGGTTCTGGGCAGGAAAATTACTGAGTTCACAGCCAGCATAGACTGCAGTTCAAGGCCACCATGAACTACTAGGGAGACTCTGTCTTTTCTTTTTTCTTTGTTTAACATCCATTGATTCTGTGTTTACTTGACACTGATAGTACTCTTTACTCCAAGAGCCAGAGCTCTTTGAAACATATATCAAACCAGACTAGGATTTTTCTCAAGAAGAACATTCAAAATTGTGTGATTTCATGTGTTGAGAGGGCTTTTGATACCTGGGAGGATATTGTATAACCCCAAATGTCTTAGTCACTTTCTGTGTCACTGACACAAATACCCAGCGCCCACAACTTAGAGGAGCGATTCCTTTGACTCACAGGGACAGTCGGAAGCAGCAGCAACAGGTGGAAGTTGCTCATGGCATTGAGGAAGCAGAGACAAAGGAGGAGCCTAAGGGGAGACACCTTCCCAGGGCGCGCCCCACCACCTGCCCCTCTCAGCGAGGCTCCACTTGCTGATAGGTCAGCTGCAGCACCCATGTCCAGTCCTTCTGAAACCCCTGCCTGGGAGCCTTCGGGGAACATGCTTGACGTAAACCGGAATACCTAGAATTTGGGGTTACTGCCACTGCCTGCCTGTCTTTCTTTCTGTCCTTTCCTGTCCAGGACCTCACAGATTGCATCTATATATTCAAAGTAGAGGATGTGCAGGGGAGAGGCCTGAGGATATCTGAGGTTGCCGTTAGCTACTGTTATGTGCCGCATGTGAGCAAGTGTTCGGTTCCTTCAGCACGAGTTTTTGTGGAGTGAGCTGAGTAAACTTGATTGATTGCCCCCTCCCCCAACAGACTTACCACGGATAGACTTCAGCAGCATAGCTGTGCCTGGCACGTCAAGACCCCGCCAGCGCCCGGCAGCAGGCGCACAGCAGCCCCACTCATCTGCTGGAGAGATAGCGTCCTCTCCTCAGGGCTTGGACAACCCAGCCCTTCTCCGAGACATGCTGCTGGCCAACCCGCATGAGCTGTCCTTGCTGAAGGAGCGCAACCCGCCCCTGGCAGAAGCCCTGCTCAGCGGAGACCTCGGTAAGCTTGTCCATTTGGGAGGCTGTCGGGCTGCCCTGGGGTGAAGAGATAGTTCACAGTGAGTGCAAAGACTCCAGCAAGTGGTACATTCAAACCACTGTCTTGTGTGATTTGTTGAACACATCTAATATGTGTCTGCGAGCAGTAATCAGTATTCATTCGTGTCAGAGCCTGGGGTAATTGGCAACCATGATAGGATTCTAGAACTCAGTTTAGACTGGCTCCCTTTGTTTACTTTTTTTTGTCCCTCTTTTTAGCGAAGCATGTAAGCCAGGTTCTGATATTTTGACTTGTTCACTTAGATCAGTGGTGGCAAACCTATGGCACATGTGCCGCAGCAAGCTTTTAGGTTCCCTGAAAGCTTTAAAGATTCACTGTTACTGACTGAGGTCCTCAGTTAAAGCTCACCAGCAAGATGCCAGCTGAGTTACTCTTGGTTCCAGAGCACATCTGCAGTGCCGTCAGCTGACTGTCCCTGGTGTCTTCCTCCCCAGGTTCAAGTGGCAACATGGTTGCTGCCAGCTGTTTGGAGCTGTGTTGGAGCCATTCTTTTATTAAACAAAATATTTATTTTAAGCTTTCTGGAGTTACCAGGTTTTCTCTACTTTTCTCTCGTTTTGATTTTGGGGTTATGCAGCTATGCAGGTTAAATTTTTAAACCATAATAGACACCTAACTCTTACCATTTGACTTTTTCCCCTCTGGCACTAAGAATTGAACCCAAGGCTTTACACATGCAAGGCACACACTCTACCATTGAGTCACATCCCAAGCCTTTTTTTTTTTTTTTTTTTTTCAGGCCGACCTTGAACTCACTTTGTAGCCCAGGCTGGTCTCGAACTCGCAATAATCCTCTTGTATCAGCCTCCTGAGTGCTGAGATTACATGCATGAGCCACCACGCCCGGCCATCCCAAGCCTTTTTTAATCTTATTTTTGAGACAAGGTCTCGCTAAGTTGCCCAGACTGACTTTGAACTTTACTCTGTTTCTGCCTCAGCCTCCCAAATAGCTAGAATTACAGGCATGTTCTGCCATGTCCAGCATTTGACTATTGTTCCCTACACTTACCTACAAGGAAGTGCACAGATTTTAAGTACTAGAGTCATTGAGTTGTTTTTTTGTTTGTTGCTTCGTTTTTCTGAGGCAGGATTTTGCTATGTAGTTCAGACTGGCTTTGAACTCACCCCAGGCTGACCTCAAACTCGTGTCAATTGTCCTGCCTCAGCCTCCCAGGTGCTGGGATAACAGGCATGCACCACCATGCCTGGCACAATTTATTTTTGACAAAGTCCTGTAACCCCAGTCAAGATGCAGATCATGTCTATCACCCCAGAAGTTTCTGTTGTTCTCTCTTCCACTCAGTTTCCTCCTGTTGTTCTCATAATCATTGTGGGTTCATTTTTCCTGTTTTTGAATTTGGTGAATGGAATCATAGAGGCAGTACCTTTGGTCAAGCTGCTTTCACTCCGTTTTTAGGTCTACCCATGTTACTTATGTCGTTAGTTGAAATGACCATTATCTTGATTTAATTTTTTATGTCGACATAACTAATCATCAAAGACCATGTGGCAGTATGTTTAGCCTTATGCATTTAAATGTGCCACCATTTAAGAAATAAGAAAATAGACTTTTTTTTTTTTTTTGGTCTTTGTCTTTTTCTTTTTTATCGGTACCGGGGATCGAACTCACGACCACACACTTGCAAGACAGGCGCTTATGCCGCTGAGCTAAATCCCCAGCCCCTAGAAAGTAGACTTTCACTAGCACACATCATGGACTATCTTCTCTTCTCCATCAGAGAAGAGAAGAATATGATTAGATTAATAGTGGTTTACACATTACCTGGTTTAAGGCAGAGTATTATAAAACCAAGCTAGAAGAAGAAAAAGAAGATTATATATCTAGTACTGTGTTTTGTCCTAGGTCATAGGATAACAGGGACAGTGGGAAGGAGAGAAGTGGAGACCTGTATCTGGCCCACAGATAGACTTTCCTCACTGAGTTACTGGAAAGTTGTTATCTGAGTGAAAACAATCCAGTGGGTAACTTGTAAGAATAAGTTTGTGAATAAGGTTTCTTTACTGAACTTAAATGAAGAAATCGCATTGCCTTTAGGGAATAGAATGCAAGTGCTTGTTTTTTAAGCATCCCTGCTACATTTTTTATGGCTGTATTCTGGAAAATGTTTGGAATGGAACAGAACTGATAAAAAATGCAAATGTTGAGGCCAGGGATTTAGCTCACCGGCAGAAGTGCCTGCCTGGCAAGCATAAGGTTGTGAGTTTGTTCTCCAGTACCCAAAAAAAAGAAGAAAGAAAGAAGCAAATATGCAGGCATGGTGAGACATGCATATAATCCCAGCACTTAGGAAGCAGAAGCAGGATCATTGTGAGTTTAAGGCCAGCCTGAATCACATAGTGGGGCTGTGTATCCAAAAAAAAAAGAAAAAAGAAAATGGAGTGGAGTTGAAGATTGTCCTCCCTTATTTTTGTAGAGAGATTTTCCAGAGTCCTGGTAGAGCAGCAGCAGGACCGAGCCCGGAGAGAGCAAGAAAGGATCCGTCTCTTTTCTGCTGACCCCTTTGATCTTGAAGCTCAGGCAAAGATAGAAGAGGATATCAGGTAATGATCCATCCACCTAAAGAGCAAGCCTGAGAACATCCAGGTTTCCCAAAGTGCAGGTCACCTGGCATTATCTGGACGTCTGTGTATAGTAGCCTCCCTGTAATAACCTCAGTCTTTTAGGTAATTCTGTCCTGTGCCATTTTCCACGCCCTTTGATCCAGCATGACAAGGTACAGGTGCCTGATTTAATAACTCTCTTTCCTCTAAACCTTTCTGACACTGTGACTAGCAGACTGTTGTTACAGCAGCTCCAGGCAGATGACCCGGGATGCAGCCAGGAGCCCTGTCTGGTGCCATGCTAGGCTGGTTACCTCTGCAGACTTGTGGTTAAATCTGGGGCTTGATGGTAATCGGATTAGAGAGACGTCTGCACAGGTGGATTCTTGTAGTTCCAAGTCTGCCTTCCCCTTCTGCTGTTTCTATAGTGCAGTGGTCTTCATCTGGGCTGCTTTGAAGCTACCTTTTGAAATTGCAGACACTGGCCCTCCACCCAAATCTGATGAATCAGAATCTTTACCTAGGCAGGGATGACGTACTGATGCAAGCCGTGGCCCCATCATCAGTTACAAACAAAATTCTGTTCAAGTAACATGGCTGATGCTCTCCCTGCCGCTATTTAGTTTTGTTGCTGATTGTAAAGATATTAGTTCAATTAAGGAAAAATAAACACACAGGCTAACAAACAGAAAACTAGTCCCAGCACTTGAAAGACTGAGGCAGGAAGATCTGTTTGAGTTTGAGACCAGCTGGGCTACAAAATGAGCTCAAGGCCAGCCTGAACTACGGAGTTGAGACCCTGTCTCAAAAAGAAAAAAAAAAAGCATACTTCTGTTTGAGTGAGTAAGATAGGGATTTTTAGGGGCTGTGTTATCATTTTTGGTTACTTAACTAAAGCCTGACTTGGTTATACTATACTACCATCTTGGGAGCTAAATAGTTGTTTTCTGAATTCTCAGGCTACGTTTGAAATCAGAGCAATGTAAATTGTGTGCCAGAATCAGTAGACGGCCTTATATTGTTTTTAAGTGCTCCCATTCATGATAGCAGCTATTGATGAGTATCTTTGAGAAACATCTCACTAGTTAAATCTATCCCGAGAAAAGGAAAATATTTATGTTCTCCCTACTAGGCCACGTTGCCGTAGAAAGGAGAACTGATGTTGGCTTCAGAGTAGTTGCATGCAGAGCTGGGCACGGTGGTGCCTCTCAGGCCAACAGGGGAGGCTGAGTCAGAAAGACCAGTTGGTGCTACATTGTGAGGCCCATCTCAAAATATTAAAAACAAGTTGTGTTTAACTCAGGCAGCAGTAGAGGTAGCAAGACCTCAGAGCAGAGTGTAACTGAGCTCTTGGAAAACAAGAAGCGAAATGGAGCATGTCCAGGTGGCTTGTTTCTTCTTGGGATTGGGGTGCAGGAAACCGGGTACTACCCCCTTTTTCTTCCCATTCTGAATGCACACCCCAGTCCTCATGCATACCAGGCAAGCTCCCTCCCACTGAGCAGCACTCCACCTGTGCACCCCTGCTCATGAAGGACACAGCCGAGCTGGATGTGGTGGCACACCTGCAGCCCCAGCACGTGGGATTACAGGTGAGCCTGAGGCACGGTTATAAATTTGAGTCCCATCTGGGCAGTTTAGCAAGATCCTGTCTCGAAAGAAGTATGTAAGTTGAAGGAGAAAACTTTGTGCCGCTGAAGAGACATGTGGAACCCAGAATAGTCAGAGTACCTAGTGTTGTCTAAGAGCATTTTTTTCTTTGCCAAAACTCACTTGGGTTAGTCATTGACAGGTTAGGACACTCAATTTTAGAGTGTATCTTAGTTAAGTAGTGAAATAAAAGGTGTATACTTATATCAGCTGCCTGTTTTTTGTTTGTTTGTTTGAGTCTTTTGAGACAGAGTCTCACTATGCAGTTCAGGCTTGCCTTGAGCTTGCCTTGTAGCCACAACTGGTTTTAAACTTGCAAAGATCCTCTTGCCTCAGCCTGCAGAGTGCTGAGATTACAGGCATGCACCACCATACCCCGCTCCTGTTCAGGTTTTATGTGGCACACAATGCCACCAATTATACAGGGCATGTGTACACTGGGGTGTAACAGTTTACCTGTTTGCCTAACAAAATTAAACAAGGCAGCTTTATTTCTGGAAAGTTCTGTATTTTATTACAGAATGGCTGATTAAGCCATGAGTTCATTTGAGCTTGAGTATAACTACAAAAAGGACAGCACTATAAATTTAGAGTTAAGGATCAGCAGACTTTTTAAAGGCTAGAGAGTAAATACTTGAAGCTCTCAGGCCGTATGAGCTCTGTTGCGCATGTTCACCTCTGTCACTGCCATGTGAAAGCTGGCCTAGAAGATGGGCTAGTGTGTGAGTGCATGGTGTTGCTGTCTCCCATAAATTCATTTACACAGATAGTTAGCAGCCTGGTTCACAGTGTAGTTCACCTCAAGGCTTGAACCCTGTTCTCTTACTCTCTCAGTCATCAAGTAAGTTGCCTGGCCATGTTGCTTGTTTTTTTTTCCCCCCCATTACATTTTTGTTTTGTTTCATTTTGGGTACTGGGAATTGAACTTGCCAGGCAGGCATTTACACCCCCGAGCTAAACCCCCAGCTCTCCGCATTACTGTTTTTTGTTTTTTTAATCTTTTTTTTTTTTTGGTAGTGTTGGGGATTTAACCTAGGGCCTTATGCATGCAAGGCACAAGCTCTGCCACTGAGCCACATCCCCAGCCCCCGAATTACATTTTTTAAATTTTTATTTATTTATTTATTTTTGGTACCGGGAATCGAACTCATGACCATGCACTTGCAAGGTAGGTGCTTATGCCACTGAGCTAAATCCCCAGCCCCTCAAATTACATTTTTAAAGAAAGGATTTGATAGGTTCAGTGAACTATGATTCATGTGTATACTTTTAAGTGATAAAAGACACACTTTTTTTTTTTTTGTAGCATGAGGGATTGAACCCAGGGCCTCATGCATGTTAGGTTAGGTAAACTCTCTATCTCTGAGCTACACCCTTTTTATTTTCTTTTTTTGAAGTGAGTTCTCATTTTAACTTGGCCCAGGCTGACCAAACTTGGGGTCGATTCCCTTCTTTTCCTTCCCCAGGAGCTGTGATCAGCTGTTAGATGCATTTTTGGCCCGTGTTGTGCTGTGTGCCCTGTACCTCTGAGCACTCTGTTAGGAGGGAATTATTACCCTGACTCACATATTGGAAAACCTGTTCTTGGAGAAGAAGTAGCTGGTGCCGCAGCAGCAATTGAAATATTTCTATATCGTCTTTGCATACTTCCTGATGGACTAGGCATAGGAAATATATTCCAGGATCCAGTTAATCTTCAGTTAAGATTGAAGCATTCATGAAACCCTTGACATTCTACAGAATAAAAACAGCTGACCATGCACTCTGTTTTCTTATTTCTGAGCTTATAAAGGGATTTTAATTGTCTTATATGAGGGTAATTTTTATGCCTTCAGTTTTTTTATCAGCTGTGTGTCTTACCACCTCCTACTAAGTCACCCATTGCAGGACAGAACACTAATTTCCATCCCATGACTCAGTTCTATTTAGGGCAAAAGATATGTACAAATCTGTTTTTAATACTGTAAGTTTGCAGCAGATTGATCTTCCTGGAAATAGTGCTTTTAGTGCACCTGGTTTGGTTTTGTTACAGGCAACAGAACATTGAGGAGAACATGACGATAGCTATGGAAGAAGCTCCTGAAAGCTTTGGCCAAGTGGTGATGCTTTATATTAACTGCAAAGTGAACGGGCATCCTGTGAAAGCCTTTGTTGACTCAGGTGATGTCTCCGTTTTTTGTGTCCCCCCACCCCACCCCGACATCCTGCTCTGCACCATAGGAAAAGGGGACAGAATACTCAAAACTTTAATGGGAAAAATTTATTGTGGCTCACACTTTGTAGAAGTCTTGCTCCAAGGCAGGGTGGCATGGCAGAGGAGAAAGAGCTCATAGCATGGTAAGCAGAGGCAAGGAGAGGTGGAGAGGAGAGGAAGGGGGCTCTTCCAGGGCCCGCCCCCAGTGACCACCACCTCTGATCAGGCTTCACCTCTCAGCATCACATTTAGCTGTGAACTCATCAGTAGACTAATCCATCCATGATTGTCACACCCCCATGATCCTGTCACCTCCCCAGAGCCCGTTAAGAGCATGGGAGGCTTTGAGGGGACATCCAGATATCCAGACTGTAACAGGGCCACTCTCGGTGGATGACTACGGTCCTTTGAACTGGTAACGAGCCTGGGAGTTGACTTGCTTCACTTACTGGTTTTCTTGCTGGTTGTAGATTTATTTCTCAAATCGTATGTTGACCAGTTCTGCATTTTTCCATGTCTCTTTTATCTTGCTGTGTTCCCTTAGTTGTTATCCTGAGTTTTTGAGTTACTTTTGTAAGAAATTGAGACCAGTAGGTGTAGAATAAGGAGCTTAAGAAGGAGCTTCGTGGGCAGTAGGTCAGGTATTCATGGTGGTCTGCATGCCAGTGCTTTGCTATTAGTCATGTAAGGATGAGTGGGCCACCTTCCTGCACTTAGAATTCATGACCAGGTGAGACAGGAAACTTGCCACTCACGGGCTCAGGTAGCCCTTGCTGTCTGGCACTGTGTCTTAGCAGAGCACGATGGATGGATGGGTGGATGGATGGGTGGATACATAGAGCAAGCAAGCACTTGTGAGCACCTCATGGCTGTGTCACAGTGGCCTTATGCGTCTTACTGTGTATTTCAGTGGGCTGGAAGGTGCAGTGACTTCCTGGAATAGAAAAATTGGCTCAGATGCCTTCTTCATTATCCACAGCTACTTGAGCTCATGCTAGGTTTCAGCTCTTGGTAGGAGTTTGCAACTTCAGGTGCAGACACTTTCTTGGGAGAAGTAAGTCTTGCTTCCTGAGTTTAAAAAGTGTCTGCTGAAGGGGCTGGGGATTTAGCTCAGCAGCATAAGCACCTGCCTTACAAGCAGGCGGTTGTGAGTTCGATTCCCGGTACCGATAAAAATGAAAAAGACAAAAAAAAAAAAAAAAGTGTCTGCTGAGTGCTGTTTGCAGTGCCTGGTGCTGGGTTTGGTGGTGAGATTTAGTAGCTGGAGCATCAGAGTGCTGTGAGTGAATCAGGCAAATACATAAGGCCATCGAGCGTTCCTCATCCCTAGCTGTGTGCCAGGCCATCTTAGTCCATTTTATTTCATCCCGTGAGCTGTGTTCTACTGACTAAGTGTAGGGAGGTGAAGCCTCTCCCAGTCTGGAGTCTAAGTGGTGCTTGGTACTAGAACTCTTCACCGCTGTGTGAGCCTCTGTGGGGGTCCGGAGGACACAGAGACCTCATGCTCACTCTGTTCAGTGTGCACAGCAGTGCATTCCCAAAGACAGCACTTCGGTTTGGGACTCAGAGCTCAGGGTTGATAAAAGGTAGAGAAAGAAGCCTCTCGTCCTGGCTCACTTTAGTTAAACCAGTAAGTGGCTTTTATGGAGTGAGGTGAGGAGGGTGAGAGGAAAGAAACAATGTTCCCAAATTGCTTTTTCTTTGGTTAGCTCTGGGCCTTCTTGAATCTTCTTGAATGCCAAGAGCTTTCAGCCCCCATAGTGCCTAGGGTACCTAAGGTGCAAGGTGCACAGGAGGTATCAGAATTGAAGCACGGGGAGAGCCCAGAGGGGAGGTATGTCTTGAGCTGGGCCGAAGCACAGTGAAACTCAGAGAAAGCAAGAATTCAAAGGGGCCCTTGATAGGCTAAGGCAGTGGAAGCAGAGGAGATGCACACCTGTGCACAGACATACTAGAGTGGGGCACTTGGGCTGGAAACCAGCAGCGAGGCCGGAAGGAGGCGGGACCTGAGGCTGTGGCAGTTGGTCCAAAATAGACCCACAAAGTGGAAACGGGCACAGGCTGCCGTTCGGATGACATAAGCTAAGCGGTTAGAGGACAACTGAAGGCAGAGAACCTAGAGGGCTCTCTCCCCTGAAGGTTATAACTGTGTCCTTGCTGTAAATCACATGTTCAGAGTGGTTGGGAGCCAGAAGTGTTGTCCACTTGCAGTGGAGAGGTTATGAGCTAGATGGAAAGCTACGGTTAGGAGGGGCAGGGCAGAGTTTGAGAGCAGAGAGAGGGCGGAGGCATCAACTGTGAACTATGCCCGGGTTCTAGGACTGCAAGAAAGTCATTCCAAAGCAAAGATAGAGAAGTCCAAAGTGAGAATTCCGGCGGGGGTGGGGAGGAGGCCATACCTCTCTGCTCTTGGTAGAAGTGTCCAGCACACCCGGAGCACGGAGCTAGAGTTAAGAGAAAGATGCGGGCTGCAAGTAAAGATTGGTGACAGGCTTGTCTTTAATATGCGCTGACTAGCTGAGGACATGGACCTCAGAGTGGGAGGGACACCTTAAACACCCTCAGCCCTAAAGAAAGAAGGCCCAGTCGCTGCTGGCACAGCGTGATGAGCACGCTTCACACTTCTGGGAGACTACGGGACTTCTTTAAAGGAGGAATTGTGTTGGGGATTGAACCCAGAGCCCTGCCCATGCCAGCACTGTAGCACGGGGCTATAAGCCAGCCCTAGAAGGTATTTTTTAAATGGTGAACTGTAGTGTCCCAAAGTTTGAAATAAAAATAACTTGAGAAAACACTTAGCCGTTCAGTGAGAACCTTTCTGTGTGTAAAGTGCTGCTTAATTTAGCATTGCCATCTGTAGACATCATCATTTGAACTTGAAAGGTAGTTTTGTTTTCTGTTGATAAAGTTTTTGGTTTTGGCAGGAGCTGGTGAGAACAGGGTCTTGCTACCTGGTTTTGAACTCACTCTGATCCTTCTGCCTCAGCCTCCTGAGTGCCAATATTACAGGCGTCCCTACCACATCAAGCTATTATTGATAAAGTTTTAAATATCACTTAATAGCTAGGCATGGTGGCACATGCCTGTAATTCCCTATGAGGTTGAGCAGAAAGATCATAAGTTTGAGACCAGCCTGGACTACATATCAAGAACCCTATCTTAAAATTATTACTTGCAGCAAAATAAATGTTTGCTCCCTCATAGTCAGATTTCCATAATATGTTTCAGATTCCATTGTGGAACTAAAACTTAAAGGGCAATGGGGCACCTGCTAGGGAAGAGAGATGTTAGAAATAAAGCCTGAGCCAGGCGTAGTGGCACATGCTTATAATCTCAGCATTTGGAAAGCTGAGGCAGGAGGATGGCTGCAAGTTCAAGCCCAGCCTCGGCTACATAGTTCAAGGACAACTGAGCCGCATGGTGGGACACTGTCTCACCTGGGGGTATAGTTGTTTTCTGCCTAATTCTTGGTGCTATATTTTGAGTCTTGCTACAGATGTGGATTTTGTTTTTATTATATGATGATTCTTTCTCCTTGCAGGTGCCCAGATGACTATTATGAGTCAAGCCTGTGCAGAAAGGTGTAACATAATGAGACTGGTGGACCGGCGGTGGGCAGGGATTGCCAAAGGAGTGGGCACCCAGAAGATTATTGGAAGGGTACACCTAGGTGAGTGGAGGCAGCAGGAATAGCTTCTTTTGTAGATTATTTGTAGCATACTGGGTTTTAGAAGTTTTGGGAGTTTTAAAAGTTTTGTTTTTTTGCATCTGATTCACAAACTTTAATTCCCAGGAATTTGAAATCCTATGTTTCACCAGGGCTATACATAGTATGTGTTTGTTACCAAAAAAACTGCACACTTCTATTTCCTGCTCCTCAGAGATAATCCCTCTTCATTATTTTGATTTCTTTCAGTTAACTTTTCTTTTTTTGTACCAGGGATAAACTCATGACCTCCTTCTTGCAAAGCAGGCTCTTACACCCCTGAGCTAAATCCCAGCCCTTAGCTACTATTTCTAAGTAACATTTATTTTGCTGTTTACTGATATGACTCTGAATGCTTTTGAGAGCTGAGCTGTCTGACTAAATATAATTGCTTTTCTGTTAGAATTCATAACTGTCCTTCTGCGGGGTCATTTTTTTGTGCATTTTGACCTCATATACTTTGCTATTTGTATAAATCTCTAAATAAGCCAGGGCCTATGAGATCTTGTCTTACATTTCATCCTGTGCGTCTTCTAGAAACCTGCTGAGGAAAGGTGGGACGGAGGAAATGGAGGCCTTGAATATCAGACATGCCTTTTGCCTTCATTCTGCCGACTGGCTGTTTTGGAAATGATTTTTCTTCCACAGTTGTAAGGCATTGTTCTTCGCCTTTCCATTGTCACTGTCTCATAAAGAAGCCACCTGCTGCTTTCATTCTTTATCCCTTTCTCTTTTTTGCAACTTGTAGATTTGACCTCGATGGAGAGCTTTTTGTTGTTTTTGACCAGGGTGTGTTGGTGTGCTTGGGTATGGCTCTTTATCTGCTAGTATCCAGTACGAGTATTTGATGACCTTTGCAGTCTAAAATCTCCTGTCCTTGGGGCAGGGGATTTAGCTGAGTGCCTGCCTGGTGAGCATGAGGTCTTGAGTTTGATCCTCAGTACCAAAAACCCCAAAAACTCATGTCCTTTATTTCTAGAGCTGTTCCTTGAGGTATTTGTTTATTTGTTTGCTTATGTATTGTAGTCCTAGGGATGGAACCCAGGACCTTGCAAATGCTAAGTAAGTGTGCCACAACTCCACCCCCCTGGCATTTTTTCTCTTTTTGTACAGCGCTGGGGATTGAACCCAAGGCTTCACACTGGGCTGTATCCCCAGTTCCATTTTGTTTTTTGAGACAGAGTCTCACTAAATTGCTCAGACTTGGGATTCTCCAGAGTACTGCAGTCAAACCTAGAGCCTCTGCCTGCCATGTGAGTGCTCTACAGCTGCGCTGCACCCCAGCCCTGTGCACTTATTTTCCTTGTAATGGGTCATTTAATGTGTAACGTTTTATGCTCAATTTTAATAATACTCAAGACATTTTCCCCTAGTGTCACTTTATGTTTCATACGCATCACGTGTTATATGGATTTAATCCAAGTTTTGGGATATGTTTTTCCCTCCAGTAATTTTAACATTGCAGTGGGTTTTAGTGTGATTTGTTTGTTTGTTTTTTGGATGCCCATTATGATTTTTCCCCCCACTTAGTCAAAATTCCTTTAAGTGAAACTAGCAAGTCAAAATTGTGTCTAGCTGGGTGTGGTAGCACACACCTATGATCCCAGCACTCTGAAGAGGCTGAGTCAGGAGGATCACTGCAAGTTCCAGCCACCCTAGGCCACATAGCAAGTCTAGGACAGCCTGAACTACATAGCAAGACACCCTGTCTCCCCTCCCCCTAACTAACAATTGAAGGGCAGCCTAGTGAGATCTTGTCTTAAATTGTAAAACAAATTGAAAAGGGCTGAGGATGTCACTCAGCCTTAGAGTGCCCCAGGTTCATCCCAGTACATGATGTCATGGGAATAAACACAAACTGAGGACACGTTAACACCTAGAACTAATGAAGACTTAATCCTCTTAAATATATGGATGTGTATGTTCAACTCAGAAAGAAGAGATAAAAATTTATAGCGATAACTTCAACAAGAAAGCCAGTTAGGGGCCGAGCTCAAGTGCCTGCCTCGTAAGCACAAGGTTGTAAGTTTGATCCCTATACCAAAAAAAGGAAAAGAAATCCAACCTAGGGGGCTGAGCTGGGGGCTTACCTCAGTGGCAGAAGTGCCTGCCTGGCAAGTGCAAGGTTGTAAATTCATTCTCTGGCACCAAAAAAAAAAAAAAAAAAAAAAAAAAATGAGTGCCCACGATTTAGTTCAGTAATATAAGCACCTGCATGGCAAATGCAAGATCATTAGTTTGATCCCTGGTACAAAAAAAAAATCCAAAGATCCAACCTATCTCTCCACTTCTGTCCAGGTGCTTGATAAACATGAAAACTTCCCTTGCCGCATTAATTGGCCAGATAATAAAATCACTGCCAAATTAACAAAGGCTTACATCTACTAATCATAAGTGTTGCTAAGAAGATGAACAATGGAAACTGAGGTAGTGCTAGGAACATTTAATAAAAAATTCAGCAGCACCAGCAGAGTCAAGCATAATTTCCCCCGGAACCTTCTGATTCCACCTCCTAGGATAACTTTAGAGAAACTCTGGTGCACGCAGGAGAATGTACAGGAGTATTCATGGTGCCACTGCTTAGGTCAGCAGCAACTCGATGCCACCTGAGGAGTGCAGTAGCTGTGCATAAATCACCATGGGGCATCAGGTGTGCAGCGCTGACGGGGAAGTGAGAGAAACTTGGAATGTATCTCAAAATACTTATTGAGTGAGAGGCAAATTACTTCATAATCATAAAATAAACTGTATATTGTTTCTATCTACCGAACTGAGAAAAAGCTGGGAATGATTAGCACAGAATCCAGGCTGGTTAAGAGAGTAGGGGAAGCAGTAAGTTCAGGTAATGAAGAATGAAACAGAGAACCATTTTGTTTGGTTTTGTTTTGCTCTGTTTTTTAAATAAACTCCCTTAGTACTTTGGAATGAAGCCAAGGCCTTTGCACTGAGTTACGTTACCAACCCTTTTAATTTGTTTTAATTTTGAGACAGGGTCTTTCAGGGCCCTTAAGATGCACAGGCTGGGCTCAAACTTGCAATCCTCCTGCCTCAGCCTTCAGAGTGCCAGAATTATAAGCGTGGATCTCTGTGCCTAGCTCTTCTGTTAGTTTTCTATTTCTTTTTAGTTTTGTTTCTGTTTTTGAGACAGGGTCTTGCATGTAGTTTAGGCTGGTCTTGAGCTCTTTATAAAGCCAGGCTGGTCTCCAACTCTCTAGGATCCTCCTGCCTCAACCTCCCAAGTACTGAAATGACAGGCGACACCATACCTGATAGTTTTCTGTTTCTTAACCTGGGTGTTTATTTTATTCTGCTTTATACATTCATCTCATGTACTGTTCTGTTTGCAAAATACTTTCCTTTAAAACCAGAAGAGTAATGAAAGAGTCAAAGCAAGAGGCTCCAAGCAAGACATACCTTGATATTTGTTGCCTCTCGTTTAACAAATAGGAACTTGATTATAACAGGCAGTAATAAACCACTTTTTTTGTGTTGCTTTGATTTTTTTTTTTTTTTTTTGCTTTTGTTTTTTCAAGACAGAGTCTTTTGCTATGCAGTTCAGGCTGGCCTTGAATTCTCTCGCACACACTGGCCTCAAACTCAGTGATCCTCCTGCCTCAGCTTCCTGGGTGCTAGGTTTACAGACTTGTGCTGTCAGACTGGCAATAAAATCAGTTTTTAATATAGGTTAATTTAAAAGATGAAAACATACAGATTTTAATTCCCTTTTTAAAACCTTTTGTAAGTGTTTGGGACGCAGGTGGTTAAGTTGGCTTTACTGTGATTTTTGACCCTTTAATGCCTGCTTTCCTCTACCTGCACACATCACCTCCTGGCGCCCCACAGTAAGCCACGCGTTCTGGGGAGTAGTTCCGCTGTACCCACTTCATGAGCTGGGGCCCTGTTGGCTTGCAGTCTGCTTTGAGGCTTTCCTAGCTGTCACCATTCAGTCGCAGCTGTACGTGGCTGTGCTGATGGCAGGGAGTCAGAGCTTCTGAGCAGATGTCAGTAACTGCTTCTCTTCGCGGCTTTAGCTCAGGTTCAGATTGAAGGAGACTTCCTGGCGTGTTCCTTCTCCATTCTCGAGGAGCAGCCCATGGACATGCTTCTGGGACTGGACATGCTGAAACGGCACCAGGTAACTAAGAACTTCCTTTGATTTATGTATTTTGCACCTGCTTTTCCAAGTTCCATGATTTTTATCACATCATTTCTGTTGGTTACATGTCCGGGAAAACCAAGAAGCATGAACTTTTCAAACCTAGAAACATCCTTAGCTGACTGTGTTGCCACGTGGTGGTTGAAGTGATGTGACATTGGAAATAGAACCTTTGTGAAATCTCTGAATCTCCTGTGTCTCGCTGTCTGTTTTGACGTTGTAACTGGCAATTTAGTTCCCTAGTGTGACTTTAATAGTTTTTTGATGGTTTATTATGAATGTAGGTTTAGCAGGTGTTCAGTGATTCTTTTTTTTTTTTTTTTTTTTTTGTCTTTTTCCTTTTTATCGGTACCAGTGATCGAATTCAGGACTGCCTGCTTGCAAAGCAGGCGCTTCTCCCCAGCCCCGTTCAGTAATTCTTTTTTGGTTTTTTGAAGCAGTGTCTTGCTGTGTAGTTCTGGCTGGTCTTGAATTTATTCCCTCTTTAAAAAGAAAAAGCTAATTCCCTATATCATGCATAAACTTTCCATAATGATAAAGTTCTTGGGCCGGGGATGTAGCTCAGTGGCTTAGCGCCTGCCTGGCAAACACACGGTCCTGAGTTCAATTCTAGTACCCACAGAAAAAATTTTTGAATGCTTCCCAAGTACTGTAAATAACTATTAAATCCCAAACGAGGTGTAAATCAGTAGAGAAGTGCTTGACTGGCATTCGTACTTCTGTGGTTTGAGCTGTTGGGAAAAAATCTTAGAAAAGAAAGTGCTTTGTATGTCTTCAACATTCTACATAGAAGGAGTGGGGTGCACATACCTATAATAGGTATATCTAATTTTATTAACTTTTCACTCTTTCCCTGTATTTTAGTTATAGTATATAGGCCAGCCATTTCCACCTCTATAGTCAAATCATGTATGTGTGCAGCCCATTTTGTTTTGTTTTGTTTGCAGTACCAGGGATTGAATCCAGAGGAGCCTACTACGTGCTACATTCCCAACCCTTTTTATTTTTATTTATTTATTTATTTGTTTGTTTGTTTGTTTTGTTTTGTTTTGTTTTTGGTTGTTTTTTGGGTTTTGTTTTTTTGTTTTGGTACCAGGGATCGAACTCACGACCTCACACTTCACAGACAGGCACTTATGCCGCTGAGCTAAATCCCCAGCCCCTATTTTTTGGTTTTTGAAACAATGTCTCACTACGTTGTTTAGGCTGCCTCTAACCTAAGATCCTTCTGCTTCAGCCTTCTGAGTAGCTGGGATTACAATCATGTGCCACTGTGCCCAAATTTGTTCTACACTAAGTAGATAGAAAAATGTACAGAACAGAATAACACAGAGGCAATCAAGGGAATTTCTGTAGAGGTTGCTTTGCACATTTTCATTTTTGAGACCGTTAGTTTAGAGTCTAAACTGTCCTTTGTAAAATAAACCAAAAACAGCATACATAAAACTAAATAGTATGACTTTTAACTTTATAAGAAGAAAATCATTTGTATGTTCTCTAAAATGCGAGGCTTCTAATTTTATGCCTGGCAACTTTCCAAGTTTTGTATCACGAATGTTTATAATCAGAAATGATCAAACATTGATCTAATGACAAATAAATATAAACTGTACCCTATAAAGGTTTTATTAATAAAAACTTTGAATATTAAAAAAGAATTCTAAGTTGAGCATAGTGGTCCATGTCAGCACACAGGAGGCTAAGGCAAGAGGATCGCTGCAAGCTCAAGGCCAACCTGAATTACAGCGCAAGACCCTGTCTCGTGAGTGAGTGAATGAATGAGTTAGTTCTAAACCGGGTACAGTAGTGGGCACCTACCCCAGCTACTTAGGATAGTGACACAGGAGGATCACTCGAGCCTAGAAGTTCAAGACCAGCCTGGGCAGCATATTTGTAACTCGTCTCAAAACTTGGCAGGACGAACCCTAAAATGACTGGCAGTATCACCCAAGTTAAATTTAAATGCTTTTGGATAAAGAGGTTTGCTTTGATTTTTGTTTAACCGTCTTTCTCCTTCTTGATACTGCTCCTTGTCAATGGGGTTTTTTATTTGGGCTCATAATTTTCCTACATGGCATTTTATCTGCTATCTTTTTTTTCTTCTTCTTTTCTTCAGTGTTCCATTGATCTCAAGAAAAATGTACTGGTGATCGGCACCACAGGCTCCCAGACGAGCTTCCTACCCGAGGGAGAGCTGCCAGAGTGCGCCCGCTTGGCATATGGCACTGGGCGAGAAGATGTGCGACCAGAAGAGATTGCAGACCAAGAGTTAGCAGAAGCCATTCGGAAATCAGCAGAGGATGCAGGTATTGGAATGGTTGAGCTCTTGGATAATACTCACAGAGAGGGTAAGACGTTTCCAGTCTCTGGTCGGTCTCATCATCCAGCAGTGGGATGTTCATTAGCTTCCTGCCTCCCTTCCACCGCTTAACACAGTAACAAAGAACTTGGTTTCAGCAGATTCAGAATATATATGCCATTGCCGTATACAAGATAAACTGGGGAGGTATTTGTTGTATTTCTCTGGGTTTTGTTTTTTTATTTTTTATTTTCTTTTGGTTTGGTTTGTTTTTTTCTAAAGTAAATCATAGCAGTAAGCAGATACTTAGTTTTGACTTCAACAGTATTTCCTCAAAATTTTCATTCCTTTTCTTAGCCCCATTTAATTTGAAAGACATCATTGTCACAGTGACTAGTAATTTTAAAATATTTATCAAAAGTACTGCCAGCAGCTGGGTATGGTGGCATACTCCTGTAATCCCAGCACTCGGGAGGTTGAGGCAGATGGAACATTGCAAGTTCAAGACAAGCCTGGGCTACATAGTGAGCCCAAGGCTAGCCCAAACCACATAGTGAGACCCGTCTCAAAAAAGGACACTCCCCACCCCCGACAAATAAAAGTACTGCCAGCAAACAGCAGCTAGACTCATAATTGAATAGTAATCAGAATGCTCTTTCTACTTTTATTGAGATCACTGTTGTATCTTCACGCTACACGATGAAAACTTCCAAAGTCAAGGGACTTAGTACTTTTTCTAAGTCTCAAGAGTTATGGCCTATTTAAATATAAAGATGGAGCAAATGTTCTGGGTAAAATGGAGCAGCACGATTTTGCTCAAATCCCCCATCTGTTACAGAACAATGACTGTGGGATGTGTTTTATAGACGCTTTAAAAAATTACTTTTTTTAAATTACCTTTTAAATATGAGTTATTTTAAAGTCCTGGGCCACAATTATTCATCAGTATGATTAATGTCTGATTAATTTCTGATACAGTAGAATGTATTACATTTAGATGTTCAAGGACTAGCTTTCTTCTAATGACAGAAGAGGTAAAAAGCCAGGGTTGCCACTTTTTTTCTTCTGCTACTAAAGGTAGAGCCCAGAACCTTCACACTGAGCTGTATCCCCAGTCCTTTTTATTTTTTATATTGAGGGCAAGGTCTAAGTAACTAGTTTGTCTAGGCTGGCCTCATACTTGAGATCCTCCTGCCTCAACCTCTCAGAATGCTGGATCACAGGCATTTGTCACCATGCCTGGCTCTTGCCACGTGTTACTTGAGAGCTTCCAGCCTTAAGCCTAAAATGGGCCTGGGTAGCAGATGCACTGGTCCAAACTGGCCTTGTTCAGAACCTGAAAGTTCTGTTGCGTTTTAAATCAGCGTTGCGTAATAAGGTGCGCTTTCAGGCTGGAGGTGCAACGCACTTGCCTGGTGTACATGTGGCCCTGTGTTCAGTGCCCGTCCTCCCCCAAGTGGGGTTTTGGTTGCAACTTCTATAATTTGAAGGAAGAGGAAAATTTTAATCTTCCCAACAAGATAAGCATGAATAAATTTGACCTACCAACTTAATTTAGAATTTAGGATAATTACTCAGTTTAGTCAAACTACATGTTAATATGAAGGTAAATTACCATTGCTGAAATTTTTTCCCTCCACTATCTTTATTATTAGAGAAAGATTAGCTTATGACAGCCATGTTTTCTAACCTATTAGTAACAATTACTGTCTTCAGTGACTACCTTATTTTAATAGAAACTTAAGGTTAAAATAACATAATTACAGATGTTTTCAGTGCCAATTTTAAAAGATAAAAAGGAAGTGTCTTTTTATCCATATAACCTTTTGTTACTGATATGTATGGCTTATACTAACTTTTATAACCTTAAAGATAGTGAAAATCAGGAACTGGGGATTTAGCTCAGCGGCATAAGCACCTGCCTTGCAAGCAGGCAGTCGTGAGTTCGATCCCCGGTACCAATAAAAAAGAAAAAGACAAAAAAAAAAAAAAGGTGAAAATCGTTCTGTAAAATTAGGTCCTGTTTGTTTGGAAAGCCTTTCCCAAATCCAAACTCTGGGCATAATAGGTGAAAGTATTTTTTGAAAAGCTGTTGCTTTAATGTATACTTTCAGACTGGGGATTTAGCTCAGCAGCATAAGTGCCTGCCTGGCAAGCATGAGGTTCTAAATTCAATCCCAGGTACCAAAAACAAACAAACAAAAAGATTAACAATAATGTATACTTTCTATCAAAGTATACTTAATCTTTCTATCTCCCAAAAATAATTTAGCCAGGTATGGTAGCACATCCTGTGATTCCAGTACTCTTGGGAGGCTGAGACAGGAGGATCACGAGTTCGAGCTCAGGGCAGGTAATTTAGCAAACTAGGGAGATCTTGTATCAATAAAGGATAAAGATATACATCAGTGCAAAGGCTCCGGGTGCAATCCCCTGTACTACCCAGAAAACAAGGAAAAAGAATTAAGAATCAGGGATTTTATATATATATTTTTTTTACATTTGATATTTTAAAACTGACTAAAAGTGAAGGCAAATCAAGATAAATTTTGTTATTTCTTTTCTTCTAAATATGAATCTCAACAAAGAAACTTGGAAAATGATTATTATATGTGTTCACTTATTCTTATTGCATAAAATACTTTCATCTAATTTTATCTGATGGATCTATTTTCTTCACCCGATGTGTTTGCTCAAAAATTCTGAGTGTGGATGTGTAAAATTAATTTCTTTCTAAATTCAATTAAAAATCTGTTGAGCACTTGGCATCGTGGCACGTGCCTTAATTGTAGTACTTGGGAGGCTGAGGCAAAAGGGTTGCCATAACCTTGAGGCCAGTCTGGGCTGCGTAGCGAGACCTTGTCTCAAAAAGCGCTGCCTCCCCACCATCCAAAAAATCTGTTGTAGTTGACACATTGTTTTATGTATTGTGGGAGCATTGAAGCAACCAGCGGATCTTTTGGATGTCCATATTGTAGAAACATAGCCCAACTTTAAGCCTGCTGGTTCCTGATTTCAACGATGGCGAAGGAATGGAGAGTACCCCTGCATGCTGTGTGGTTTGCACTGTTAACCCAAGTTTGCTTGTCTGTTTCCTAATCCAAACAGAGCGTCAGAAGCCATGATGCATGTAGTGTGTGTGTACTGCAGCTGGAGTGGGCCCCAGACCAGGTATTTATAGCCACCACGTTAAGCCTTCCGTGCAGTTGTCCTCTGTGCTCTCAAAGCCTGTGTTTCTGTAGCAGTTTTGAGAATTAGCTTCTGCCATCCACCATTTCACCCTGTTAATCATGGTTACAACTGGCCTGCAGTGTTAATCTTTGTGTGTATGTTGGCATGCAAATAGACATGAATAGAAATTCTTGTTTAAATTATCAATTAGCACATTTCAGAGCAGGGAAGAGCTCAGTAAAAAGTGCTGTTGTAGCAGCCATAACTGCTGTCTGCTGTGACTATGAAATCAAGAACGTTGGAGTCACAACACTTCGTCCTTGGAAAGACCTGTGCACTTAGGTTCTCCTAAGTCTCTTTCCTCTGAAAAAGTGGAACCTTTAGCCCAGGGATAGAGCTCAGTGGCCTGGCAAGTGCAGGGTCATGAGTTCAATTCCTGGTACCCCCAAAAAACGGGAAGTTCTTTTTCCAGAGGAAATGGAAGCTTAAGTCAGGTGAAAACAAGGGCTTTGTAGGGGTTTTCTGGCTGGTTGTAATTGAATTCATAGCATTTAACCCCCTTTCTCCCACTCTCAGAACCTTTACCTACCCTTCCCCTCACTCCTCATCGGGCCCTCTGTTCTTCTCCCTCTCTAGTGTCCCCTTATAAACCATAGTTTATTCTTAATATCCATTATTTTCATTCTCCTCTTGAGCATCCTATTGTACTGACCGAGTCCTACACTACTTTAGGACTTAGGCTAATGACAGCGCCCACGTCAGGAACAGAGGGCTACATGGTGCTGTTCAGTGAGTACAGTATCAGTGAGGACGTGTTGGCCCTTCACCTCCGCGGCGGTTTATCACTGGTACACCGGTGCTCAGTGGCCCTATCATACTTCTCTATGTTGCTAACACAGATATTTCATTTCAGTGCAGTTTTCTATTAGCATTACATCAGAATTTAGGTTGATAAAACCAGTGACTGTTTCTAGATTCTGATGGATATAATTTAAATTAAGACATGCTGCTTTCCTGTTTACTACTAAACTATAAGTAAGGTAAGGTTGTTTTGTAAGAAGTCAATAACTTCCTGATCCAACACTTTAACTTCTTGTGCTATTAACCGTTGTTTGATTGGAATGCTTTAAAGTTGTTTGAATTATAACTGCATTGCTTCATGACTTAAAGTCAGGACCCCATGGTGGATGTTAGCATTCAGCCCAAAACATTTTGAGTTAACATCTAACCAGACAATGTTTTGTAACCAACTTGTGACCAGTCTTTTGACTATAAGTTATTATAATATGTGCTTTCGGTCAATTCTTGTTCAGTGTCCAAAAGAGAATCGGAACTGATGTTCAATGATACCTTTATGGTTTCTGCACTGAGCTAGTATTTAAGCCTGGCATCATGAAATTCATTCATTGCAGTAACTCTAAGTACAGTCATTGCTCCCAGACTGGGGCCAGAGGATTGCCGTAAGTTCAGGGCCGGCCTGAACTACATCCTAAGGCCCTGTCTCAGAAACAAGCCGCTACCTGCTGGAAAACTGCTGTGGTTTCTCTTCGCTATTCACTTCACTGTTCTTCTGTTCTTAAACTACTAAAATGTTCGTAACTGTGCTAAATGTGGTAAAGTTACAGTATTTGGTAGGCTGATGATTGGGATTTAATTTCTTAACTTTACTTCTGTTTTCCTGGAAGTCTGCAAGCATTATGTGAATTCTTACTTCTCCTTGTAATTCCTACTATGTCCCAAGTATATGTGTTTATTTTTTTTGTATTTTTTTTCGTTTGTTTTTTTTAAGTATACCTGCTTTTGTGCTTCTCATTTCTAAGTTCATTGTTCGTATATGAAACATGAAAAGTGCTTTAACATGGAAATTATTGTGTTACAAGGTTTCTCAAGATTTATGGGGGCCAGGGATTGAGCTCAGCAGCATCAGTACCTGCCTTGCAAGTGAACGGTCCTGAGTTCAATCTCCGGTACCAAAAAAAAAAAAAGATTTTGTGATATGCTTAAGAATCACCTGGGAATAGTGAGCATGGTAACACATGCCTCTTATCCCAGCGTTCAAGGAGGGCTGAGGCAGGAGGATCTATCTCTGAGAGTTCAGAGCCACCATGGGCTACAAGGTGAGTTCAGTGCTAGCCTGAACTACATGGTAAGACCCTGTCTCAAAGAAAAAGAATCACTTGGGGAGCTCATTGAAAGGGCAGACTCCTGGGTTTACTGTAAGGATGGCATCCAAGAGTCTGCATATTTAATAAGTATCCCAGGCAACTGTAGCACTATTGGGGTAAAATACACTTGAAATTCTCCTAGAAAGTTTTAGACTCACTGGGATTAAAGATGGGAAGGCTCAGCCACTGTGTAAATACACACGCTGTCAAGAACATCCCTGCCTCTCACTCTGATTCACTGATGTTAAATTGCTTAGTGCATTAAAAAGATTCTTATGTTTTTAAACTCATGTGTAGGGACCACTGCAGTTCAGCAGTGCAATGCCTGCCTGGCAAGCATGAGGCCATGGGTTCGATTCCTAGTACCCAAAAAAAAAAAACAAAAAGTCTATATGTGTAAGGGAAACCAGAATTAAAGGACTTTTGTTATACCCTGTTTAGATTTATATGCTCTAATAATTTAATGGCCTTTGTTACCTGTCAGTTAATCTTTTTTTTTTTTTCGCTTTTGTGACAGAGAAAAGCGGTAAAGAATCTACCTCACTGGGAATGTCATCATTACCAACTTCAGATGGATTTACCCATCCAGCCCATTCTCCAGGACCAAGTCCTGAGAAGGGTAATCCTCCAAGTCTTGCTCACTCTGCCTCTGCTTCAGTCCGCCCTGTCAAGCCCTGTGACCAAGATAGCATTGAACTTAAAGCTGTGAAGGCTTTGAAGGCTTCATCTGAGTTCCAGATGAACTCAAAAAAGAAAGAACTCCTTCCTCTACAGGATTTTTCTGATCATGCTTCCTCAGCAGACCAGAGTCCAGCTATGCCTTTGCATAATTCATCCGAAGAAGCAATTATTAGAGATAATCTGGAGAAATCTGCTGAAAGAAGCAACCAGGGCCTCAAACTTTATCTCCATGCAAGACAGGAAACTAGTTTATCTGTCACAACTACTAGGATGCATGAACCACTGATGCTTGCAGACACAGAGGGTTGGCACCCAGGAAATCAGAACCTACATCAACTCAGTGGCCTTCATCAGCACACAGAACCAGGGAATAAACAGCGTGAGGGACAGCAGGATGTTCCACGTGGCCAAGGACAGCTCTGTGAGCCAGGGGATCTTGAGCTTCCTGAAGAAGAGCAGCAGAATCAACAGCAAAGTGTTAATTTGAAAGCTATGATGAAAGGAGATGGGCTTCAGCAGAATGCAGATCTTCCGAGCACAGAGGAAAGCTCTCTGCCTTCAGGATGCTTCGGCTGCTCAAATTCAGACATGCTTATGGAGATAGATGTGGAGCAGACCCTAGTTGCTGTACTTAATTCAGCAGCCAGGCAGAACGCCGATGTCAAGAACGTTGGCATCGAGTCTAGACTCACTGCAGATAATCCCTCGATGGAAGTAGAAACATCAAAATGTAATCCTTCATCTGAAAGTGTGAATGATTGTGTTTCCACTCAGGCTTTACAGCCCCCAGAAAGTAATATTGAAGTGTCTGAAACAAATAATGAATACAGCAACAGTCTACCCTCTCTGAATCTCGGTGGCACTGGTCAGCCGTCTGTGGAGTCAGCAGAAGAATCTTGTTCATCTGTAACAGCAGCCTTGAAAGAACTTCATGAACTTTTGATCAATAGTAGTAAACCAGCTTCAGAAAATACATCTGAAATTACCTGTGTGTCAGAAACAGTACCCGAGGGCCAAACAAGTGTTAAAGGCCTTCCAGAAAGATGGACTCAAAATGAGTATCTTCCCCACAGAGATCTGTGTCCACAGGTCTCCTGCCATCAGGCCAGATGTGTATCAGGGAAGACAGAAGGCTTAGGCTCTGCATCTGGAACAGAAGACATGGAAAGCACTAGCTTCCAGGGACCAGGTGATGGCCTGTCAGCTGACCAGGAAGGTGTCCCCAAATCTAGAGAGTCACTGAGTGAGAGCAGTTCTGTCACTGTAACCTCAGCTAAGTCATCTAATCAATTACCCTGCACCTTAGGTGTAGAAATTACATCCAGTCTCCTAGGCGATGAGGAGGATGCCCGCAATCAGACTTCGGAGCAGACGGAGTCTTTGCCATCTAGTTTCATACTGGTTAAAGACTTGGGTCATGGCACACAGAACCCAGTAACAGACAGGCCCGAAACCAGAGAAAATGCCTGTCTTGATGCTGCAAGGCCATTTCTTGAATTGGAACCACTGACCAGCTGTCCGTCATCAAGTCCTTCCCTCCTTTTACCCTTAAGTTTTCCTGCCACAGATATTGACCGGATTATTCGGGCTGGCTTCACTTTGCAGGAAGCTCTTGGGGCTTTGCATCGCGTTGGTGGGAATGCAGATCTTGCACTTCTTGTTTTGTTAGCAAAGAACATTGTAGTTCCCACATAACTATGGGAAAGTGGGCTAGACCGTACTCCGTTCCCTTTTAAAAAAAAAGAAGCACTCTATACACACACACACACTCACCACATACACAGTATATGTAGAACCCCGCAAGCAGAATGTTGAGCCAGATTTTTTTTTAAGGGTTTTTTGGGGGGCGTTTTTTTTTGTTTTGTTTTGTTTCATTTTTGGCCAAAGTAATTTATGATCTCTTGTCTGATGAATTTGTCTATCCTACCTGTTAAATTTTGGGCCTTTAAAAATGTATTGGCAGTATGCATACAAAAGCTTTTTATTCTCACTAAGGTGATGTATTCTGGAATAAAATGGATGGTTTTGTGTATAGCATAACATATTAGAATGAGAGTGAATGCTTTAAAAAGCAGAGACCATGAAAAATCCCACTACCCATGCAAGTAGAAACACATCAGCTCCCCACCTGTCTCTGCTGCAGGCAGGGTATGGCTTGTTGACTCCATTTAGAAACTTCTGACTATAGAGCTTGGTGTTTGGAATTATACACAGTGACTGTGTATTATGACTCACCAGTTATAACAGGAAATTGAAGAATAATTGGATAATATACCCTAGGGTGGTATGCTTTTATTTGTGTGCTCAGGAATTGACATTTTAATGGGGGGGGGGCGGCTACTCTGCATCACAGGCTGCTGCGTGCATGGGTTGATTGCCAAATACCTTTATTACATTGGCCGGAATAAGTTAGAATTAACATTGTAGTGAAACATGGTGCTACTCAAACTTTAAAAGGGAAGAAACAAAAAGGCCCCAATCATGATTCCATTTGCAGATGCCAAGAACTGTAGGAGAAAAGGAATGGCCTAGATAAACACTGGAATTTACTAGAGATTGGGTTTGCTAGCATCTCCCTGATAACACCTCAATCCTTCCTGACTAATAACAAATGTAAGTTCAGTTAAACAGGTTGGTTGCCAGCAGCTTGTTTCCTTTCAGTGTCATCTACTAGGCAGTTCTTCCAGAGCTCCATTTGGGCTGTGGTCTGAATGAAGTGGAAGTGCGATGATCTTGTCACTGGTTCCCCGTGGTGCTTGGAATGTCAGTTTGGTGTCGTTCGTGGCAGTGGAAATAGTAATAGTAGTTTCTGATCAGTGGCCTTGGCAAAGTTTTCCATCCCTTTCTTTCCTCAGGAGTTTCTTTTTTAAGCAAGATTAATGTTTGTGTTTACCATGTCAAACTAGAGTGGGGCAAAATATATAGAAGTATTTATTGTGGCCTTTTTTTTATATAAGGACTTGCCCTTGGAAGTCATTGTCCCATGGGCCCCACTGTGCAATAATCCTACTGGATAGGTGTTAGATAGTTCCTAGAAATTGAACTGTTCTTTTACATACCTAGCAAAAATCTGAAATCTTGATTTTTTTTTTTTTTTTTTTTTTTTTTTTTTTTTTTTTTAAGAATTTTGAAAGCCAGGCGTGGTGATACATACTGGTAATCCCAGCTCTTGGAAGCCTGAGACAGAAGGATTACAAGTTTGAGACCAGCCTGGGCCATATAATGAGATCCTGTCTCAAGAAATAAATAATAAAAATCAAAATTTTTTAAAAAATGGATTTTTGAGAATGATTATTTCTGATTCCAAATTATAGTCTGCAATGTGTTTGAAGGAATGATTTCTGAACTTGAGTTAAATGATATTTTTCTGAAGTCTCTCTGAAAGCTTGTTTTTTCCATGAAAATTTAAATCAGCACAATCAAAACCAGAGCTCATCTCAGGAGTTTTTGAAACTTTTATTTTAGCAGCTCTTAGAGGCATTTCTCTCTCCTTCTCCCAGTCTCTCTCTTTTGCTGTGTTGCTTGTATGTATGCTTTGAGACTTCAGTGACCTGGCACAGGTCTCCAGATTCATCATGATCTTTCCTGAAGTTAGGAAAGGGTTGACAGAAGGAGTTGTTTCCTGCTTTCCAGGGGGCGCTCAGAACAGCAGGTGAACCCGGCTGTCTTTAAACATCCAGACAGCCATGCGTTGAGGAGTCTTGCTTGCGCTACACCAAAGACGTGAGATGTACTAGGAAACAATTACAGGATTTTTGTCAACCAGCTCAGAGCTGTGATTGTAATTCAGTAGTTGGTGCTATGATTAAGACAAAATCCAGCATCAGTGCAGCGGGGGCCTGTATTTGCTTTATGGGTGGTGATTTGAGAGTATAATTTAAGGTTACAAATCTTTAGGGCACAGGGTGGGGTGGGTAAGGGAACTCACTGGTGACAGTGGACTCCTCCCGAGAGGCCTGCTGTGTGGAGGTGGCCGCACAGCACTCTGAGCATATGAGACCTCAGCACACCATTCAGAAGCTGGCCACTGACTTTATGGTGTCAAGGTTTAGGTAACTGTCCCAGGTGGAGTACGTAATGACAGTCTGGAAAAGATTTCATTACAGTAGCTTTTCTGTATGTATCTGTATATTTACTTTTAGGATTTTTTTTTTTTTTTTTTTTTTTTTTTTTTTTTGTCTTTTTCGTTTTTTAGGAAAAAATCAGATAGGCTTATTGTTGTACAGGAATTGTTAGGAATACTTTCAGTGAGCTTAACCCACTTGCCAAATATCCTTGTCCCTTTTGGTCTATTTTTGTTTGTTTGCTTATTTGTTCGTTTTTAAACATATACTTGCTTTTGATTTTTAAAATATCACTTTCTGTCCACCATTCGTATAAAAATAAAATTGTTGACGTTAGGATTTTGAATGATTATTTTAATTTTGTAGTTCTAGCCCACAAAGGGTACATTACACTGGTGAATCTGCATTGTCAGTTTTTATGCAGTGTTTAATACTTTAAGAACTTTAGAAGTGCAGAAACTATATATTAACTTCTAAAACTAAAGATCAAGTCATTGTGAGCTCTGGTTGTCAGCAGAGCTGATAGATAATAGCCATAACCAGCACTGGATAGCTCCTGCACTGTAACCAGTAGGGGCAGTCCTGTGGCCAGCACTTACATCCTAGGGGGGTCTCTGCTTATACACCAAAGAGGAGTAGATGTCCTGTAAGCCTTGAGTGTTCCCTCAAGTCGGTTCCTGTGTAGAAGGGTGTGTTTGCTAACCAGCTATGCCGAGGCTACAGACGTTGCTTTTGGCACTTAAGACCATGTGCAGTTGCCTGCTTGCTTAGGCCTTCAGACAGCCAGGAGCCTTGTTGCTACAGTGTGGGCTCTAACTGTTAATGGATAAACAGAACCAGTCGCTTGGCAAAGGAAGCTGGGTAGATTGAAAGTGTTAGAACCCTTCTGCCTGCAGCCTACATGTCCCAGAGCTCCTTGACTCCATAAGCACTGAAGGGACACACAGCCCATTGTGTTTCTTCCCCAACAGTGCAAGAGGATACCTAGGAATAAAATATAAGACTTTGTATCACTGATTTTTGTGGTGCCCGTTTAATGTAGAATCATCCTGTTCCTCCCTACCACAACTCTCTCTAATGAAAGCCATAAAATTGTTGGTGTGACTTTTCAGCTCATGTCTATAGATACATGTGTAAACTATCACATACATATGGTGATTGACAAATATCTTAGTTAATTTTACATAGATTAAAAAGCAAGCAATTTTTGTATCTAATAGTCTTCACTTACGGTGGCTTTTATCCCACCATGTGTATAATAAACTGCCTTGCAGATAGCTAGTCTGGAGAGTCACAGTGCATTCGGATTGCCTTGCCCTACCCGTTGGCCGCCTGTGGCGAGGGCGCACAGGAAGGTTGAGTTGCTCCATATTTCACACTTAACTCTCACTGGCAGCGCGGCACAGAGAAGCTAACCAGGGCCTGGGGCGAGCTCAGTGGTACAGCGCATTTGAGCACGTGAGGCCTGACTTTGATCCCAGCACCAAAAAAGATCAATAAATAATAAATACAAGACGCTAACTGGGTTGTGTTCTCTCTCTAGCACACTCACCCGAAGGCCCAGTTTCTCATTTGAATTTGCTGACTTAGTGTAGTCTGTGGCTAAGCTAAAAAGATAGTTACAAGTTTCCCTTCCTAGAAAATGTGTCGTGATAGGAATTTCATAAAATGAAAGTAGCCTCCTCTGCCCTGAGAATTTTTGCTGATTTCTCTTAAACAATCAAGTTGATTTCAGAGCCTGTCCTTTGTGCTGGAATGTGATGTCAAGGCTCAAGTTTTATACTAAGTGGAGCCTCTGGAGGTTTTAGGAGTTCATTGAATAAAGAACTTAGGGGTGAACCTTCAATGTTCTTGCTTTTCTTTTGTGCCTTAGTTTCTCTGAACAGCAGAGACATCGAATGGTGGGGAATGGCAGTGGGGGAGGCTGGGGGGAAAGGTTAAAGTAGCCTCCTGGGGATGAGGACCCGTGGAGGGCTTTGGCTCCTGACTTTCCCCACGCTGAGTCACTGGGTGTCCCCTGACAGGGTTGCTATATGGGGTTTTACATCTGGTAAACCAAAAATGGTCTCTAGATGTTTATTGTGTTTATTGTTCTATCAGTGTTAGGAGTAAGGAAGAGGAATTCAAGAAATTACTTTCTTAACATATTTAAAAGAAAGTTAACTACTCCCTTCAAGGTTAGGCGTTACAAATCTTTGAGACAGGGCTTGCTCTGTACCACAGGCAGGCCTCAAGATGCATGGGGTCCTCATGCCTGAGCCCCTCAAGTGCTAGGATTCCAGGCGTGTACCACTATGCCTAGTTTTCTTTTTTGGGTCTTTGAGACAGTCTCGTGGTGTAGTTAAGGCTGGTCTTAAACTCACTGTTTAGCTCCTCAAAACTCCTGGGACTTCTGCCTCAGCCTCCTGAGTGCTGGGGCTGCAGCAGAGCCCCACCACACCCGGCTTGCAGTATGACTGAGCACGAAAATCTTCCTGAGTGCCTGTGTGCCGGGGCCTGACGAGTGCTAGGGATTCAGGTGTGACTGCTTCCAATGCAAACTACTACTGCTCGTAAATTTGTTGGAGTGTTTTTGTTTTCCTCTCCCAGGACAGGGTCTTGTGTTCCCCAAACTGGTCTCAAACTTGGAACCTTACAGCCTCAGCCTTCCACATAGCTGGAATTACAGACATACACTACTGCACACAGTGAGCAGGCCTTGCTTTTTTCTTTTCTTTTCTGTTTTTTTTTTTTTTTTTTGGTGCCGGGATCAAACTCATGACCTTGTGCTTGCCAGGCAGGCCATGCCTTGCTTTTGAAGTCAGAGTTACACACTTCTAATTTAGAGCTAGCTGGAAAGACTCAAACCCACAATGGAATCAGATGTTGGGAACATACAGTCTTCCCCACCCTTCCCCTCCAGTTCTGTGGATTGAATTCAGGCTTTTGTGCATGTTAGATAAGCCCTGTCACAGATGCATCCTTAGCTTTAGAATGATTCCTACATTTTCCTTTGGGAGTGGGTACCAGGAATGGAACTCAAAACCTCGTGTTTGTCAGGCAGTGGCCATATTGCTGGGCTCTTGGCAGCCCACGTTTTACTTTTTTAGTGCCCGGTGTAGCGTGTGCTTGTAATCCCAGCACTCAGAGAGTCGGGCAGAAACATCAAAGAGTTTGAGGCCAACCTTGCCTACACAGTAAGACCCTGTCTCCAAAAATTTTTTAAATATATTTTGAAAAGAGTCAGATACACTAACAAAGTTGTAACGTCTGGTAGGAACACCTGAAGGGATCAGGTACTGAGGTCAATTTATAATTAGAGAAAAGGGACAGGCAGCAAGGAGTCCATGACCGCCTGCTTCCCATCAGGACCTTGCTGTGCGGGTTAGAGATGGGGGCAATGCCCCACAGCCTCCCACACCCCTCAGTCAGCACGGCTGCTCAGGAATCCTGGCCATCTGGGCTGACAGGACTTAGCCCAGGATTCTGCAGGGTGTGCTATTTTAAAGCAGCTGAGTGCAGCATGTGAAAATAGGAATCTAGAGCAGGAAGTGTAGCAAGTAGTTCTGGGACTGGGTAGAGAGCAGGACTGATTTACAAAAAAATGCAGGACCTGCTGAGGCTCAGCAGGAGGGCTGCATCCAGGGACCTTTCATCCATTAAAGCCGGTACAATCTGTGTTGCGATCTGAAGCAGGGAGCAGGATTTCTGAGTCTCGGCCTTCAATGTTGAGATTCACAGGAAATGTGACTGGTCATCTACACTGGCGGGGCTGAAAACAGGGCTCAGCTGAGAGGACACCACCTTAGGGACAAGATTGTCCAGGAAAACAGCACAAGGGCATACGGGTTAGATGTTCCTGTACATAAAATACTGAAACTACAGACAATGGGAAGTGGAGAGAGCGAGAACACAAAATTGGGGTAGTTTGTACAGAACTACATTTCTATACTGTAAGATTTTCGTTACCAAAATGGGGAAGGGTCAGGTTGAGGCATTTTTCCATTTTTTCCCCCTGGAAAATTTCATCTGATCGCAAGTGACTTTTTTTCTTGGTACCAGGGATCAAACTCAAGACCTTGTGCTTGCCAAGCAGGCATTTGTGCCAGTGAGCTAAATCCCCAGCCCTAGGAAATGATTTTGTCTGCAATCTTAACTGACTGGGTTTGTGAGTCCCATCAGTTTGTCTCCAGATTCCCTGACCAGGCTCCTTTTCTCCTTCCTTAAAGTCCCAGGAGATTTCTGAGTTTTATGCCATCCATTCAAAGCCTATCAGAAGGTGTAGGTTTCTGTTTCTCACTCTCCTGATCAATCACCCTTTTGAAATAGTTGTGATAGAACAGTTGCACATACTGGTTGAATTTGCTTTTGGGGGGGCTGGGGATTTAGCTCAGCAGCATAAGCGCCTGCCTTGCAAGCATGTGGTCATGAGTTCGATCCTCAGTACCGATTAAAAAAAAAATGAATTTGCTTTTTTGTTTTTTTAACCATGTACCTTCAATTAAAACTGACTTGTATGTCTTTATTCCAAATCTCTTGTTAATGCTAAGTCAGGCCAATGGCTTTTGCACTCAAAGATTTGTTTACTACTTTTATAGCCATATTTGGCAAATCGTAGTAATAGAAGCCCTCTTTTCTTCCTCTCTTTGCTTCGTACTGCAAGATACTCTTTACCCTTTGAGACTACTGCATTTTATGAGAAGAACTAGACTGACTGGCAAAATAGGCTTGCCAGTTGCTCCCAAATGCTTTGGTTTTGAGAGTTGGGAAAACTCTGAGAACTTAAGGGAACCGAACTCAGGAATCCCAAAGTTGATAGCATTGTGCCATTAGTTTAGGGGCTGAACATAGGACCTGTCTACAGCTGAGTGAATCTGATGCCTTTGAGTTTGAATTTCTGTCATACTGAAAATGTAAGTCAGCCCTGAGTAATTGAACACTTTATTTTATTTTTTAATAGGAACTTTCTGAAGAAAAAAGTGGTGTGTAAAACATTTGATATTTAAGACAATAAAGTTTTTACCATAAGAATTTTGTTTGATCAGTTTCTTTTTTAAATTGAGGTGGTTCCTTCACTTCTGTCACTGTCTCTGTGCCTGAACCCAGGAGAATAAGCACCATGAAGTCAACTTCCAGGGTGCAGGAGGACAGATGGGCGTTTTGTAACCACCTGCCCTGTTGGTGCTCAGTAAGCTGTGGTGTGCAGTGTTTGAGATTCATATCCTCTAGAGCCAGGCTGCGTGCCTGCAAATTCCCTTTGCCACTTGCTAGCTTATATGACTGGTGAATTAACCTTTCCACACCTCTGTTTCCTCTTCTGTCACATGAGACATCCTGGGAGAGTCATGGGGGTTAAACAAGTTCACATAGGTGCCTGGCACAAACTGTGTGCTTATTAGATGTGATCAGTTATCACTCAGAGGGCTCTTTTGGGGTCCAGAGAATGCTAAATAGGCTTTCCAGAAGTTGAGGCTGTCAGCCAGGCCTGATGGTCCACATATGTAATCCCAGCACCCTGGGAGACTGAGGCAGAAGGATCCAGGTGTGAGCCCAGCCTAAACAATTTGACCACTGAGAAAAACCCTATCTCAGTTTAAAAGGGGGTGGGATATAGCTCAATGCAAAGGCCCTGGGTTAAACCCTCATTATTGCAAAGACAAACTTGAACAGAAGATGTGGGGAAAGGCTCTACCCTATTCAGTCATTGAGTATCCTGCCTGGATCTGCCTGCCCACTTCATGGAGAGCCAAGGTCCACACATCCTCTAGCAGCGAGGCGCTGTCTGCCAAGGTTTTATGTCCCGCATTTCAGTAGCAATTTTTGTATTAAGGTGGATGCACTACTGCCACAAACCAACCTCCAGTGTCAGTAGCTTCACATTAAAGAGCCTGGTCCTAGCATGCATGAGGCCTTGGGTTTGGTCTTTGGCACAGCAAACAAGACTGAAAGTGTGAAATAGGGGTAGCTACCTGGTACATTAGTTACCTAATGGCTTATGACAGGTCCATACAGCTCGGGTGAGCAGAGTAGAATATTCATTCAAAAATAGAAATACAGAGCTGTGCATGGTGGCACACACTGTAATCCCAGCCCTCAGGAGGCTGACTCAAGAGAATACTTGCAAATTCAAGACCAGCCTGGGCTACAAAGTGAGCTCAAGGCCAACCTGAACTGCATAGTGAGACCCTGTGTCAAAAAAAAAAAAAAAAAGACAAGGGGTCAGGGGTTTCGCTCAGCAGTGTAAGCATCTGCCTTGCAAGTGCATGGTCGGGAGTTCAATCCCCAGTACCACAAAAAAAATACAAGGAAGTAGGGTGGGAGGTTAAAAATAAAGATTGAAGGGGGCTGGGGATTTAGCACAGCGGCATAAGCACCTGCCTTGCAAGCAGGCGGTCATGAATTCGACCCCTGGTACCGATAAAGATTGAAGAATAAAGAATGAAGATACAGGGCTGGGTCTATAGCTCAGTGGCATAAGTGCCTACCTGGCAAGCATAAGGCCCTGAGTTTGATTTCTGATACCAAAAAAAAAAAAAAAAAAAAAAGATGCCATAGTTCTAAATCCCAGAACATGTAATGAGCAGAGCGTAACGCAATTCCCAGCTTGCATAAAAGGGCCACATTGTCAATTTACTGCCTGCTTGTTCAGCGCTGCTGATCTGCTGATGGGGTTAACCAGCTACCATCCCTTGTCTGTGGAGTTCATCCTTAAAAACGAGCTAGTGACTTGCTTCCTCCTAGTAAGTTACTAAAAACTAACCTTTTCCCTGTTCAACTGCAGATGTATGAAACTGAATTGCCTGAGCCAGAAGCACCCCAGCCTTCTCCGTTCAGCCTCTCCCTGAGAGCTAAATGGCAATTTTACCATGCAGGTGTTCAAACTAAAACTTTTAACTCCTTTCCTTCACATCCTGCACCCATCCCAACCGAAGCCCTAATGCCTCTACTTCAAAGTATTAGTGGCCTGAGCATTTCTATTATTTATTTATTTGCGGTACTGGGGATTGAATAATGACCTCGTGCTTGCCAGGCAGGCACTTATGCCACTGAGCTAAATCCCCAGCCCAGGTCTGAGCATTTCTAGAAGCCTGTTCCCAGGTGCCAGACCCTCCCACCTTGATTATTACAACCCCTATTCTGGCCCTTGCCTGAGCTCAACAAATTAAATGGGGCTCCCTCAAAACCTCTGAGAGCCGGCTTGGTGGTGCACACCCATCCCAGCACTGGGGAGGCTGAGGCAGGAGGTCACAAGTTCAAGGCCAGCCTGGTCTACATTAGCAAGACCTTGTCTAAAAAAAAGAGGAAGAAAAGAAAGACCTCCAGTGGGCACCAGAGTACAAAGCAGATCTCTTTGGCCTCCAAGCCCCCGGATGCCTCTGCCTTCACCTCCTGAGCTCTCCCCTCCCGGGCTCTAAGCTGCCCTGGGCTGAGTGCAGTGCCCTGCCTCCTCCTACCTGGGCTCCTGGGAACTGGCTGTTCCTCTGTCTGGAGCGTGTTTTCTGCAGACCGCATCAAGCCTTTCCTTTCGCTTCTTCTGGGTCTTTATTCGGACATCACCCTAGTGAGGGCTTCCTCTGGTTATTTCGCCTGAAATTATAGCCACCTCCCCTTCCTATTCACGAAAGTCTAACTTGCTTTTTCCTCCTTAGCGCTGACCCCACTTCAAAGACTGCCTGTTTTATTTTTCCCCCTCGTTAGAATGTGAACTAAAAGAAGAAGAATGTGAGGTCCGCCAGTGGGGGGCGCTACATCCGAGCTGCTCACCACAGCGCCCTCGCGGCCAGAATCGGTGACCAATGAGCTGTGCTTTGCATGAATCCGTTGAGAGATTCCTTTGTACTACTTTAGTTCCTCGTCTCTTTTTTTAAATAGTCTTTTATTTTTATTGGTACACATTTGCAAGAACAGAATGATTACATTCACTGTGGGGAATTGGTACATTTTCCTAATGCATCTTGGCTCCTCATTTCAAAGGCCCTCAAGGGCTGCGCCATAGGCAGGATGACCCAGCTAGTGGCGGAACTGCAGCTGGAACCCAAGATGGTCAGCAAGGTCAGTTTGCAGGCTGAGAGATTCTGGCACTGGAAGACCGCCGACTTTGAGTTTAGTGATTCTAGAAGGATGGCATCCGAAGGTCGATAAGTTTGTGGGCGCCCGTATGAAACAGTTCTCTGATATACCCACATGCGGGACTAACATAAAATCTTGGCAGACAGCACCTCGCTGCTAGAGGATGTATGGACCATGGCTCTCCATTCATTGTTTTCCTAGAATGAAAAGACTCGAATCAGGCCCAGGTAAAAGCAACCTTACGTTGGTTCTTTGTCTTCTTTCTGACTTTTTACTTTCATGGCCAGCAAAAATTTTTCTGGACCCAAACTGAATGAAAATCTCATTAGAGCTGGGTGTAGTAGTACATGCTACAATTCCAGCATGAGGGCGGGTGGCTGAGGCAGGAGGATTGCAAGTTTGAGTTCAGTTTGGGCAACCAGTGACTTATCTAGATCCTGTCTCAAAATTAAGAAAAGAGCTGGGTGTGGGATACACACTTATAACCCTACTGCTTGGGAGGCTCAGGCAGAAGAACTGTCATGAGTTCAAGGCCAGCCTGGACTGCATAGGGAGGCCCTGCCTCAAAAAAATTAAAATTAAACAATTAAAAACCAAAACATGAAGCAGGTTTAAAAAATGAAAGGGGTTGGGGATATAGCTTAGTGCAAAGGCTCTGGGTTCAATCCCCAGTACCACAAATGACAACAAAAATAAGAAGCCAGGTCTAGTGGCACATACCTATAATCCCAACTTAAGAGGCTAAGGCAAGAAAATTAAAAATTTGAGCCTAGTCTATGTATTATATAGCCAGACTCTATCTAAAAACAAACTGCAAAGTCAAAAACCAACAACAAAAACCTTATTAGAGGAGTTAAGTATGATGTAACTCAGTCGTAGAGTGTATGCTTAGCATGCATGCGGCCCTGAATTCAGTCTTTCAGCCCCAAAACCAAAAACCAAAATCCTCATCAGAAGAAAAGAAAAAAATTAATCAGAAGATATTCATTTCAGGGCAGGGGATTTAGCCTGGCAGTGTAAGTGCCTGCCTGGCAAGCGCAAAGTCATGAGTTCAATCCCAGTATTAAAAAAAAAATAGAGGCTGGGGATTTAGCTCAGTGGCAAAAACACCTGCCTTGCAAGCACGCGGTTGTGAGTTCGATCTCTGGTACCGATTTAAAAAAAAAAACAAAAACATTTCAGAAACATTCAGTGAGTAGTGTGTGCCAGACACTGAGTTGGCACTGTGACTATGGCATGGACAGAGTTGAGCACAGGTACGTGTTCCCCCAGCACTGATGTTACAGCAGTCTCTGGAAAGTGGTAACAAGAAAAAAAAGGTGAGGAAGGGTTCCAGGGATATAACTCAGTGTCACAGCGCCTGCCTGGTAAGCATGACGCCCTGAGTTTGATTCTCAGTACCCAAAAAAAAACACCCAGGTAACTCTACGATAAAAATGTGTTAGGCTCACAGGCTGAGAGACTCAAGCTTCTTAATGGAAAGTAATGGAGGAGAAAGGTCTTCTTTGGAGATTACATTTTTTTTTTTTTTTTTTTTTTTTTTTTTTTGTCCTTTTTCCCTTTTATCAGTACCGGAGATTGAACTCAGGACTCCCTGCTTGCAAGGGACGCACTTATGCCGCTGAGCTAAACCCCCAGCCCCAGAGGTTACATTTCAATTGAAACCTGATTGAAAGGCTCGCTCTGGGGAGGATTTGGGATGTAGTAGGTTAGGCCAGGATACAGAAATAAAGAGGCTCAGAATTTATTTGTAAGTTCTTACAAAAAAGCTTGTCCCTTGCTTACAGTACACTCCAAGGCAAGTGTGGATGGGCAGCATTCCTCCGCACAGTGATTCAGGGACCTGAGTTCTTTCCCTGTCCAAGGCTTCCTCCCACCTGATGGAATAATAACTACAGGGAAGAGGACCACCCACTCACCCTGGGAATGCTCAGGCCCTGGGTGGAGAGCTTCATAGCTGA